AGCTGCTGTGCTTGACTTGGCTGGGGGGAAGAGGGGGGTGGAACGCTGAGCCCCTTCCCTGTTCCCCGGCATCTCACCACCGACTTGAGGGAATCACGTGAGCTAATTAATGAAAGCTGAGTGGAGTAGATGTTTTCTGAATGCCCACATGTGTCTGGTGTCTACGCAGATAAACTGATCCTTTGTCAAAAGACACTCAGCTATGCAGTGCAGACCACGTGTGGTGTACTGGTTTAAAAGTGTGGGTGGCCACGAGAGATGGAGAAGCGAGGAACGCTTCTGCGAGGAGGTGAGACATACAGAAGCCATGCTGAGTCAGATTTGGGTGGTTTGGGAGGAGAAGAGAGCGTTTCAGATCAGGAGAGCAGTGTATGGATGGGCCGGTCTGGAGTCTGGCCCGACTGCCCCGGAGGCACTGCAGAGCGTGAACCCTGGATCTGGTGCTTGGGTTCCAGTGCTGCTCCTGCCACTTAATAGCTTCGTGACTGGGGGCAAGCTGCCTACCTTTTGAAGCCTGAACTCTCTCACCTGTGAAGTGGCGATGCTAATAGTACCTACTTCAGAAGGCAGTTGTGATGACTAAGGAATGATTTGGGGGGACCTTGAAAACCATAAGGAGGAGTTTAAACGTGGTTGTGTTGGCTGTGGGGAGTCACAGAGGCTTTCTGTGCGGGGCCAGCATGTTAAAAGTGCTGTAATGCCTACGAGGAAGACGCCTCTGGGAGGTCCTTGTGGGGAGAGTTGTGAGGGCCTGGACTGCGCGGCCAGTGTGCTGGGAATGTGAAGAGCAGGGCGTCCCCGCGCCTGGCGGGTGTGCAGCACGAATGAGAACAGGGCATAGCAGGTGACTCCGAGGTTTCAGGATGTGGGGATGGAGACAGGGCAGAGGCAGGAAATGGGGACTGGGGGGAGGTGTTTCGTTTCTGTCATTTTGTTTCCTAATGGATTCAGTTTTAAACCTATTGGCCATACGAGGTGTGATCAAAAGATAGGGTAAATGTTCAAATAAAAAATGTATTACAGTAAGACACATTGCCATTAAACCCGTCCACCCAAAATACTCCCTCTCGCTTCGAACACACTCATCCCATCGTTCTTGCCACGTTCTGAAGCAGCTCTGGAAGTCCTCTTTTGTGAGTGTCTTTAATTGCGCTGTCGTGGATACCTCAGTGTCCTGAATCTGTTGAAAACCTTTTCCTTTTATGGTCATTTTGACTTTGGGAAAGTGCCAGAAGTCGCACGGTGCCAGATCCGGGGAATAAGGTGGGTGAGGTCACACTGTAACATTTTTATTTGACAGAAATTGCCATATACCAGAAGCGATGTGTGACATGGAACGTTGTCATGATGGAGGATGAGCTAAAGACACTCAGGAAAGAGGACTTCCAGAACTGCTTCAGAGAGTGGCAAGAATGATGGGATAAGTGTGTTCAAAGCGAGGGGGGATTAATGGCAATGTGTCATTTACTGTAATACATTTTTTTAATTTAAACATTCACCATATCTTTTGATCACACCTACTAAAGTAACATAGGACTTCTAAGTGACATTATCTTTGGAGACACTATTTCAGAGTGGGGTCAGGGGTGGAGGTCAGAGGCGGTTCCTGGAGGCGGGAAAGGCTGTTAAGAGGAAGCTGGCGATGAGCCAGCATTGGAGCCCACACAGCGTCGGGTCCTGGATCTCGGGCTGGAGAACTTCCAGAAGAGCGTGGGTGACACAGAGGAGGAGATGAAGGTGGGTAGAGGCCTCTCGGTATAAACTGTGTATGTTTTCTGCATCACAGTCTTGCCTGCGAGCACCTAATGAAATAATCTTCTTGTTGGTGGCCTGGTATGGAGTTTATCTGCTCCCCAAGACATGCCTGGGCCGTTGGTTGTTGGTGTAGATTAAGCTTGATTCTTAGAAACACATCAGTATTTCGTCAGGGAGGTGAAGTGGGAAGTAGGCAGAGAAGTCACTGGTTCAGGGCAGGAAGTGTGTGGCAGGTGAGATGGGGGTGGGGGGGACAGGACGGGAGGGAGAGAGAGAGGGACGTCCTCCCGAGCTGGTCTCGCACTACGTGGCCTTGACTCGTCGCTGCTGCTCCCCTCTTCATGTTGGCGCCTCCGAGTTTTGTCATTTTGCACCACAGTGTAAACCTGTGATTTGTCTGGAATAGGGAGATGTTCTGAGGTGTCAGAAGTCTCTAGCTTTTTGGTGAACTGCTTCAGAGTTTTTAGACGCAAAGTCGAGAGCAGAAAGGGCCGTGGACAGGCATCACTGTGCTGTGGTGCTGTCACTGGCCCACGACACCCTGTGGCTGGAAGGTTCTCTGGACCCCAGGCCTCGCAGAGTAAGGACGCCCAGAAAGGTTTGCTGCTTGTCAGGAAACTGAAGATGGAGCAGACATGGGCTTGTGGCCCACCTGTCCCAGCCTGGTCAGCAGGGGTGGCAGTGCCTGATGACATTTTCTCAAGTAGGCCCTTTCTGCTTTCTCCGTGTCTTTTTTCTGCTCAGAGCCCTTTGATTGTCGAACCAGGAAGATTTGTAATAAATTGGATTTAAGCAGAAGTTTTAAGGGAATGGAAACAATAGATTTTTATTGAGCCCTCAAGGAGCAAAGTAGAAAAATACCCTGGCTAGGTTGTATGCTGCCGAAATTTGATCTTGAGCTGTCATTCCCTTTTCTAAGTCTTTTCAGCCTTCTTTCTCACCTGCTAAATAACTGTGCTTTTAAAATAAATCATGCATGTGTTTTAAAAATCAAACTTTGAAGTATTATTCTTATTCTGTTTTTCTTTGTGCTTCTGCTGGGAGCCTGGGCCCCGGGGGCGGGCGGGGGGGCAGTTTGCCCTGAGAGTGGCAGAATGGGCTGCCATGCATGACTTTGTTTTAAACAACTGGAGGTTTACAGAACAGTGGCCAAGGCAGGACAGAAGGTGTCTGCGCACCCTTCAGCCAGCTTCCCTTGTGTTGGCGTCTTCTACCCCATGGCACATTCATCAAAACTGAGATCAGCATTGGTGCGTTCTACTGAGTGCAGCCTGTTTGCTGCTCGTCCGTTGAACTTTGTGTAAGGCCTTTCCTGAGTGAAAAAGCCCGTGCAGCTGCGTGGAAATCTTCCCTTCTGCTGAGCGCTAGACGTGCATTAAACACGCTGTGCTACGGAACTACCAGCAGCCTGGACACCTGGGTAACAGACAAGTGACAATGGAGACCTTGTTCTCAGCCAGCCCCACGTTCCACAGGCTTTTCCAGAAGGGTATTCGTGGAGCTGGGTCCCCTCAGCTCTGTCCTGCTGCCAGAGGCTTTTTCCCGGGGAGCGGCAGTTACTGCCAAAGGCAAAGTGGTGACATCTTGGGCAAGTCTCTAGGCCTCAGTTTCCTCATGTGAAAATTGAAGGCTTGGACTTCCTCCCTGAGATGATTTCCGTCTCTAATATCTTAAGGCTTTCAGGCCTGTTATCATCTTTTGGGTCCAAACTCCAAGTTCCCTAATCCACTAGCTGTCTTCTCATGCACAGCAGGGCCATTGGTAGTTCAGCCTTTGGACCCGAGTCCCAAAGGAGAAGAGGGAGGCACTCATTCCTTTGTCTCTCACTGGGCCACTGATCGGTCATTGGGGTCCTGCTGGACACAGCAGGCGTGTCAGCAGAGCCACGTCAGAGCGATAGTGGCTCGTGGCCCCACCTTTGCCCTGAGATACAGTCCAGCTGACTTCCTGTTGAGGAACTGGACTCTTTGGCTGTGTAAGGGAGAGGGTGTGTGTGTACACAGAGCCACGTAAGTTTCAGGCCACGAAAGCAAATACCCATTCGCTCTTTCCAGTCAGAAGCCTGTCTCTCCCCCTCCCGGGGGTGTATTGTCGCCTCTCCATGAGAAATTCCTTCCTGCTGTCTCAGCTCCCAAGACCAGGAAATGCTAGAGGAATAAAAAGAATGTAGAAAGCAAAGCAAAACAAAACCCCGTTTGCTCTCATCTCTTTGGGTTTATGGGTCTTCTCTTTAGGTTATAGGGGAAGGGCCAGCCACCTGCGGGCCACACCTGACCCACCACCTCCTGTACGAGGGTTGAATTGGAACATGGCGACACACATGCATTTACATGGTGTCTGGGCTGCACTGAGGACTCAGGATGGAGACCATGTGGCCTCAAACACGTATCGTCTGGTGCTTTACAGGTTTTTCTTTTGTTTGCCAGCCTCTGGCAGAGAGAGTTCTAAAAGAGAAATGACACTCTACCACCATTTCCTTCTGGCCAAAGGACAAAGTAGGGATGAGTAGGAGGGTACCCGAGAGGGTGAGTGTTCAGAGATGGGTTTCCATATTGGTGTTAGATCACAGAAAACCGAGCAACTTGCTTAGTTGCATCAAAACCAGACCCCACAGTGAAGGTCAGGCAGAGCTTGACCACAGTGGGGTGATGTGAATGAGGGTGTCTCAGACTGAGGGACCCTGGACAGGAGTCATGAAACTGTGGACTAGTCGGAAGACCAGATAGAAAATGTGGTGCTGGCAGCACCTAGGGTTCCAAGGCTGGACGCAGTGGTGACAGCTAACAGTTAAGGCTGAGTGTTTATGAATGACAGGGAGCTGCACCACTTGGGCTGTGCTCTGGGAGCTGGAGGTGGGGATATGTGTAGAGGGGGTCTGGCTACCACTTAGGTGGCATGGTAAAATGTGCCCTCAGTGGGCATGAGAGTACATTTTCCTGCGACAAGGGGTGGGTTTGGCTGGCCCTGTGCAGACTAGGGTGGCAGGGGCCCTCTCTATACAGCACTTGATCCCGAACATGCCGGAATGTCACCCTGACCCTGCAGCGGTCATTGAGGTCATTGAGACTGTTTTTGTCAGGCGGGTCACCTGGCTTCAGCATAGGTCTGCTTCTGAGGTGACGGCTTGCAAGTGGGGCGGGGCAGTCCCCGTGCATGCGGCCCGTGCGCTGCTAGTTTGGGAGTAGCCTCGTGTGGACTGAGCCATCTCCCTGCCTGCCCCTCACCCACTGGCTTCTGCTCCACAGGCTGGCGCCCATGCGGCTGTACACACTCTCCAAGCGCCACTTCGTCCTCGTGTTCGTCGTCTTCTTTGTCTGTTTTGGCCTGACCGTCTTCATCGGGATCAAAGGTAAGGTGCAGGGTTTGATTATTTTATCATTTATAGTTACCCTGCAGTGCAGTGCTTTTCAGCCTGGCCCACCTGTCCTTACCTGCCAAGGGCCCCACTGTGCACCTGCTGGGTAGAGGGGTAACCCTGGCCCTGCCCCCTACAGCAGCCAGGGCCTATGTGCAGTATGGCAGCACTGGGCCGCCTTGACTGTTCAACCTTTTGTTGGACAGTCAAACATTTCTGGAAAGTCTGTGTGTGCCAGGACCCAGCCGGGTGCTGGGGAATCCAAACACGCCGGCTGATGTGGGAGACGGGCCATGTAAACATTACATACAGCGAGTGGTGGGGCGGGCGGGAGATGCTGGGGAGGGGCCTGCGGTGGCCACAGGGGGATGGGGCTGCTCTGGCAGGAGGGAGCCCGCAGGTGGCTTTGGCCTTGTCTTCAGGGCCCCAGGCGCCCTGCAGGCCCCCAGCATGCAGTTTGAGGGGAAGAGACCTGGGTTTCTGGGAACCTTGTGAAAGCCACCGGCTTCTCTGGTCCTTAGTTTCCCATCTTTGAGAAAAGGGGGTTGGATGGGATGATTTCAGAGGTGTTTTCGGAGCTGAAATTGTTATGGTGTATGCCTACAAAGGCTGGTTTCTTAAAGCTTGGGCTGGTGAGTGGACTGAGGAAGCTGGAGAGAGGGTGGTGACTTAGGTGCTGTTTGTCTGCTGCTGATGAGGATGGTGGTGACAGTGGCAGCTGTAGCCAACCTCGTTTTCCTTCCCATGAAGTCACTAAGGAATAACAGTTACATAAATCACAGCACAAGACATATCCATTATCTTACTTGATTTTCACAACTGTCCCTTAAGATTCGTAGGGGGAGCATTAATACTCTCGTGGTCTCTAGCCTTACGGGACCTCAGCCAGCTCTGTTTCCTTCAGCCACTGTCTGTCTCATACACGCATGATGACACCCAACCTTCTCCACTCAGCAAGGCTGAGATAAGAAAAACCATGTTAGGATTGCCACATCCCTCTCCTGCCTGCCATAGAGGACGGGTATTAGTCAGGATTCTCCAGAGAAACAGGCCAACAGGATGAAACAGAGCCAGTAGGGCCCTGAGACCTAAGTCACAGGAGCTGCCCATGGTAAGATCCGTGAATTCCATAGCACGGGCCCCCTGCCGCATGGCTTTTGCTGTGAAGAGAGCTTCTTGGTCAGAAGCAACGCTGTGTGGCATACCATGACTGTGGATAAGGCATTCTGTAAGTCCTCAGGTGTAAGTTTTGCCGAAAGCATTACATGCTGGGAAGGCAATTCCATACCCACAGTAAGTGTCCCTTTCAGTAGGAACGAAATGCTGCCCCTTCCATGGTGGGCATCAGTCCACACTAATCTGCTCAGCAGGTAGCTGCCTGATCACCCCCGGGAAGCAGTGCTGTGTCAGGGACTCAGTGCTGGTCTCTGCTGCTGGCACACTGGGCGCTCAGTGATGGCTGCAGCCAGGCCAGCCTTGGTGAGTGAGGTCCAGGCTGCTGAGCCCTTGCATAACCTCCGTCCCTGCCTCCATGGGCACTTTGCTCATGAGCCCACCAGGCAGTGGCTAGGGGAAGGGGCTGACTGGGATCCAGAGAAGGAGTCATCCTGTCCACTTGATTGTTAAAATCCTCCTGTGCTGAGGTCACCTTTTGGTGAGCATTCACATGGGTCACAAATATTTTCACATTTTTTGCCCATTCAGAAAGGCCTATCCACATACCTCTTTCCTTGTCGCCCTTTTCCCAACACGTTCCTTCCAAGTCCCTTACCATCTAGGCAAACCACCGGCCACAGCTCAAGAATTGGTATGTAACCCACGCAGGGCAATCAGCCAGGCACACTGCCCCAAGTTCTGCTCCTGGAGGATGTCCCGTCACCACTATCCTTCAGGGGTGCCCCAGGAGGGGCCGTCGTGCTGCAGCTGCCCCCTCAGGTGGTGCCTGCATATCATGCAGAACCACCTATAAACCAGGCCCGGGTCTTCTCTTCCTCGGTCACCTGGTCTTAGAGAGCTCCCCGTGGTGCCATAGGTGCAGGCTGGGAGAGAAGATAGTGTAGCCAGAGTGGGGACCATAGGCGTTTGGGCCACTTCTCCCTGTGACCCCCTGAGCCTCCGGGGCCTGCTCAGGACAGATCATATTTCCTCTGGTGATGGAGTGAGTGCTGCTGTGCCCGCCCACCTGCATGCTCAATGCGTCAGGTGACACCCACTTCATCGCGGGCAGCTCAGGCTGCATGGTCACGTGGTGGCCCATGGTTAAGTGTTCGGTCTCTCCTGCGGCCCAGGAGCAGGCCAAGAGCTGTTCCTCACACGGAGAGCAGTGACCTGCAGGGGGTGGCAGGGCTGTGCCCCCAAGTCCTGAAGGCCTGCTCTGAGATTCACCCATGGGGCCTGCAGAGGCTCTACACAGCGTCCCGATCTGTCACTGCCACTTCGGGCACATGGGTCTGCACATCACGCGGCCCCAGCAGTGGAGTGGCTGGCACGGCGGCCATGGCAGCTGCAGGGCCTTCACGCATTCTGCAACCCACTCAGATATAGCAGCTGTTGGGTCACAAGGTGAATGGGCTGAGTAACACGCCCAGATGAGAAATGTTGCCCCCAAATCCAGAGGCCCGTTCGGCGTCGTGCCTGTTGTGGTTGTGTGAGGGGCCTGATGCAGCAACGTCTCCTTCACCTCAGAATCCTAGCTCTACACAGCGCACACCACTGGACCCCAGAAATTTCACTGAGGTAGAAATCCTCTGAATTTCAGTCAGATTTATTTTCCACCTTCTGATACGCTAATGTCTCACCAATAAGTTTAGAGTAGTCACTCCTTCTTACTCGGTACAGTCATTATGATGCCATCAATGTCATAATGGACCGATGTGACAGCCTGCGAGGGGAAGTGGTCAGGACCTTGTGAACTAACTGAGGACATTGGGCTGCAGAGCTGATCTCCCCTGCGGAGGACAGGGACGGTGTATTGCTGGCCTTGCCAGCTGGGAGCAAACCGCTTCTGGTGCGCCTTCCTCTCAGGGACAGAAAGAGAACATTGGCCAGATCAGTAGCTGCACATCAGGTACCAGAAGACGTGTGGATTTGCTCAACAATGAAACCCCGTCTGGCACAGCAGCCGCGAGTGGAATCACCACCTGGCTAAGCTTAGGATAGCCCACTGCCTACTTCTCGGGCCGGCTCCGCGAGCTGGGTGAGATGTGGTGGGAAGCTTGCAAGTCCCTGGTGGTAGCGCCGCCGTCTGCAGTCCCTCCAGGAACGCGATACTGGTTTTGGTGTACTGTTTTCAGAGGTGAGGCTGTACTGGTGGCTTCCACTTGGCCTTTCTCACCATGATAGCCCTCACTCCACACGTGAGGGAACTGGTGTGGGGGTCCTGCCAGCTGCTGAGTATGTCTCCCAAGTGCGCCTCCTGGAACTGGGCCATTAACCATTGGCTGGGCCTGGGGACCTACTAGGCCCAGACACACCTGAGCTAAACCTCAGTTGATCACCTGACCTCCGTAGTCCCACCTCAGTCTGCTGGACCTCAGGGCCCTATTGGGGCTCCTGAAATTAGTGTCAGTTCTGGGCCTGTGTTCAGTAGTCCCCAGGATGTCTAATGATTTCCTTTTCCCCCAGTGCACCCTTATCCTGGTGACAGGCTGTAGGTTCCTTTGGGAGAATGATTAACAGTACACATTTTCAGCAGTTTACTGGGGTGCCTTCTTAAGGGGTCCAGCCTTCTCTTCATTCAAGGAGTTTGGGGCCTGTAAGCTGGCTCAAATCTGGAAACTGTTGATGGGCTGTGACTCTCTGTTTTTGTGATTCAGGTTACACTTCTGTTCACTTGATCTAGGACTTTTCTGCTTATATAGATGAAGTGAGAATTTAGTTGGCTTCCTATAAATTTCACTTGTAGGAAAACCATGACCAACTAGCAACGCTATAGGTCTGTGCGAGTCAGACTATTCTGATGGGCGCTTTGCCTCCCCTGTCCATTACAGTAGCCATGCCCACCTCGCCTTTGGTAGCTGAGTGCCACACTGGGCCCTGCCACCCCGGTGACCACAGTTCCACTGTGAGTGAGACCTGGCCTCCGAGGAAGGGCGGTCATACAGCTCATTAAGGATCCCGGGGGTTCCCCTCACACGTTTATTGCACTAGTGGTGAAAAGTATGTCTCTGGAATCTCCCAGTAGGTCTTCAATGACAAGCCACCCTAGCACTCCAGTCTCCCTAAGCCTCTGAATCTCTTCCTCTACACTAAACCAGACAGGTGTGGCATCTCTGATTCACTCACCAGGGACCACCGTTTGGTCCACGTTTTCGCCAACCAACCAACCAAACTGTGAGAGCCCTTCCTCGCCCCCGGGCTGCAGCGTTCAGCGCAGAGCCTCTGCTCAGGGAGCCCATAGCATAAGTCCGGCCTAGTCCCACTTTACATCCCTTCCACTGTTGCCTCAGTTCCCACGTGTTCTCCCATTTCTCTCTGTATACATCAGAAAACCTGAGTAGTTCTTTTGGGGTGTAGTACTCCTCCTCATGGGTCACCCTTTCTACCTCGCCTCTGGGGGCCTGCTGGCACTTGAGTCTAGTTATAGTTCTGGAAGCAAACTGGGTTGGTCCTGAGGAGAACCAGTATTGTCCCTGAGGCAGCTGCCTCCCGGGGGGCCATGGCCATTTTCCTGGGTCGTGCTGGGTTAATCCCTCGGAGGTGGGAAAGCTGGAAGCCGCTTCCACTGGGAATGGGAAGGGTTCCACTGGCAAGGAAGGCGCATCAGAATCTAGCGGCTCAGGGTCCCCAGTTCCATCAGGATCTTCCTGCATGTGCCCAGACAGGACCCCATTCTTTCGCAATCAGTGCCCTCCCTTTAACAGTGAGACACCTGTGAGGCAGGGCGTTCACCTTGTGCCGTAAGTCAGCCCGTTGCCGGACGCGCTTCTGGGCTTGGTTTTCAGCAGTCTCAGCCCTGCGGCTACAGGAAATAAGGTTCCCCTTCAGGGCACACAGGGAGATTTCAGGCAGTTTACTGGGCACTTGAGCTGCGAGTTCAAGTTCCCGAGATCACCCTTTTCAGTCCCACTTTGTCCAGCTACATTAGGAGTGACCAGCCAGCCTCATTACATTGGTGAGTTTCCCATAAATGTCCGGAAGTCTCCTAAACAGAGTCACTTAGCTCCTTGCTTCCTGTAAGTGGGTGAGTAGGAATATCTAGCGGAGATATTCTGCATCTTTTCGTGGACTGTCAGTGTTGCCTAGGACTGGACATAGTCATTAGCATCTTTAAACCTGAGCAGGTTAGAGAACCAATTCCAGAAACCCCACAACCAACACAGAAAAGTCATCCTTAACCTTCTGTTCCTGTAAAACCTGGTTCTGTGTTGTTAGTCAGCATTCTCTGGAGACACTGAACCAGCGGCAGGCTGGGGACGGTCACCAAGGCAGCCCTGACACCTGGCGTCACAGTGGAGAGTGATCTGTTGGTAGATTAAATGAAGTCAGATCCACAGTGCCTCCTTTGATCACTTCTTTTAAGGCCAAAGCTCTGAAAAATTACAGTGTACGATTTTATGAAGCGTCTATATCTGTCACTTCAGGAAAAGCCTTGATTATATATTACGCTTTTTTTATATGTTCAACTTAAATGTTTTTGGATGACTGCATTAACTGGATGAATAGATAAATGTGTCTAAATTTTTTTTTTTTTTTTAAGATTTTTATTGGGGAATTGGGGGGATGGGAATAGTGCTGGGGAATTGGGGAAAGGGGAACAGACAAGTTGCTGTCGTTTTGTTCTTCAATCTAGTTGTGGAGGATGTTGCTTCACTGGCCCAAGTTGGCACCATCATTGCGCTCTTCCCTGGCGAGGCAGATCAGTCATCGGCTTCTGGACGGCCGCTCACTGCGGCTGCTGGCCGCTCACGCTGGCTGCTGGCCACACACGGTAGCCCATGGCAATCCACTGCCACAGGGACTGCAGCCCACGCCGTCGCCGGCGACTCATGGCAGCCCAGCTCCAGGTTGAGCTGTTGTTCAGCATCTTAGCTGTGGAGGGCAGTGTTACTGGCCCTCATATGTGGGATCCGAACCGGGGCCCTCTGGCATCCCAAGCGAGTTCTTAACCATCGCGCCACTCGGCCGGCCCTGTGTCTAAATTTTTTAGCAGACATCTTTATACTTTATGAAATAGACACTGTCTGCATCGTGAATGTTTTCTTGGATGGGCACCACAAGGGAGCCGTCACTGACAGCATGTGCAGAAAACCATGGAAACAGCCTGATGTGGTGGTCGTGTCGTGTGCATTTGCACTGGGAAGTCACGAAGTGTAGCAGAGTGGATGTTGTGTGTCTGTGTTTGTATGTTTCTGTGTTTTACATAGATGTTAATCCTCTAAAGACTGACCAGGAAAATGAAACCACCTCCATATAATGTATGAGTCATTCTTGGCATTTGAAAAAAATCGATAAACTAATTATCAATTTTAGATAGATATATATATATATATATATATATATATATATATATATATATATATATAAGCTTTGTTCCTTCTCTGTTACGCTTTAGGGCCCAAAGTGATCCAGACTTCGGCAGCTAATTTTTCACTAAATAATAGCAAAAAGGTAAGACTGGGTCCAAGTTGCAGCGGGTGGGGCTTTTAAACTTCCGGGTCACTAAGAGATGGCCCTTCTTTAGAGGGTCCTTAAGGTAGAACACCTCGCCTTGCTTGCTTCTCAGGCAACACGTATCTCTTACTCCCCTGCCAGCTGCTGGCCTCTGGGCTCTTGTGTACTAATGTGACCTTTCTCGCTGTAATAAATAATAAATACTGAAGTGCTGAGAAAGGATGGTGACCACTTAGGGAGCAGCAGCTCGTTTCCAGAGGTTGTTGACTCAGCCTGATTCCTCACATCTGCAAGTCTTGTTAAATGATAAGTTCTGACGACGCTCGCTTTCTGTTTGCCCAAGTTAGGACATGGTCTCCCAGGGCCTTTCTCTCCGTCCTTCCTAATGATTGGTGTTCCTGCACGAACTCAGTTTAAATAGAAAAAATCCTTCTTTTTTAATGTGCCTTGATTCTTCACCATCTTTAGAGAAAAACAAAGGTCCTTCCAATGGGAGGATATTGTATTGTTTAATAAATACTAACTCGTGAGAGCCCAAACAAGGAAAAGCCTTTTATTTTTCGGCGTGTCAGACCTAATCTCTATGTGTACACTGAGCGCCGTTGTCTTGTATTTTCATGGCACCTAGCCTGTGTGGTTTAAATCTGATTACCTGACCCCAAATATCCCCTAGTCTCTGTTCTCCCAGCTCCCTGCTACGTTTCCACCCTTACAATTTTTAAAAAGGCAAAAGGAGAAAAATGTCATAAAACTTACCTTCTAATTCTCCTTTTTGCTACTGCAAGCTTGAAAGGACCCCCCATTTCACCCACTTTCTTTACATTTCTTTATTTTCTTTAATGCTCAGACTGAGGATCTGATTTGAAAAAGTGCAGCCAGGGGGCTTCCTGACCATAGTTTGGTCTTTTAAAATCTGCCTCTCAAGATGGCAGTCTTTTTTTGACACTGAACATAGCAGCCATCCCACAGAACTGACTTGCTTCCAAAAGATCATCTTCCCCCCTGAAAGATTCTAGACTGACCGACCATGGCTTCCTGCTTTGATGGCCTTTGTGCACACTGCAGGGAGTGTTACTGAGGCCTGCCACAAGTACTAAAACACAAAAACCACACATTACGTTCAAAGACCATGCATTAAATAATGCTTTTCTCCGGAGCAGCGGGTGGGTCTCTCCATATCCGTTCGACGCCAGTATGGTGTTTTTCAGCTGACACTGCGGAAGTGTCACTGACAACATGGTCCCCTCTATTTTTGTTAAGACTTTCCTAAAGCTGAAAATAGCAGACGTCCATCAGTGACATGTCTGGCACATTGATACTAAATCAGTGGTTCTTGTGAATATATTTCTTTGGTGTCCTTATGATCTCATTATATGGCTCATCAAATGGACTTTTTAATTTTTTCTCCCGGATGGCTTTGTCTTGGTATTTAAGTAGGGGTATTGTCCCAAGGCTACAGGCCAGAAACCACCTGCTGAGAGGTTTTCAGGAGAGACAGAAGGAAATTGCAGGAGAAAGTCCTTTCTTTTCCTGGGAGGCAGAATTTTACTTGCACTGTCAAAGGGAACCCTGCACATTGTTTCTGTTCCAGCACCCATTTTGCTAAATGTAAATTTTGTATATTAAAGTGAGGTATTTGGTAGACTCAATGAAGAGGTCACATGGCTTATTTAACTTTTTCTTTTTTCCCCTCAGCTAAAGCCAATTCAAATACGTTCAAATCCACTGTCTACATATAATCAGCAGCTATGGCTGACATGTGTTGTTGAGTTGGATCAATCAAAAGGTATGAAGCCTGATATCTTGGTCTGATTTTTCTTTGTACAAAGTACCATATTTTAAAGGTTGAAAGAGCTTTAAAATCTTTGAACAAGTGTTCAAAGATGTATTACAAGGATGGTCTTTATTCTTTATAATAACAACAAATTGGAAGCCCCTTAAATGTCCTCCAGAGTATGTTATGATGCAGCCCACAGGGAGTGCTGGTCAATCCTTAGGAATTGCTGGTCAGCTTAGCTCAGGGAGAGCTGGTCAGCTTAGCTGAGTGGCTGCAGGGTATAGGTGCAGCTGCCTCAGCCTTTTCAGTGTGCTTCTGAGAGAGAATTAAGTCCTGATGCCCCAAAGCAGTAGATCTGTCCTGCAGGGACACTTGGCAGTATCTGGAGACATTGTGACATTTTGATTGTCACACCTGGAGAGGAGGAGATGCTATTGATATCTAGTGGATGGAGGCCAGGGATGCTGCTAAACATCCTACAATGCATCGCACAGACCCCACAACGAAGACTTATCTGGCCTCAAAGTATCAATGGTGCCGAGGCTGAAAAACCCTGGCCCAAAGCATCCACAGCTTATAATGAATTAGCTCCGTCCATTTAGGATGGCACTGTTTATCTACCATCCCTGGGGGGACTGACAACATGGTCATCGACTTTATTTTCTGTGTCCTGTGATTAATATGAGATACTTTGGTTGAGAAAGAATTTGAAAAGATAACCCCCCTATGACCACAGTAAATTAAGTGGAAAGCAATGCATATTACAGAAAAATAACCCCCTGTTATAACATTTTAAAAAGATAAATAAATTTGATATCACTGTGTATTTGTGTGTCTGGGGTTGGACACATACACTTTAATTATGGTTATCTTAGGTGGTGGGATTATAATTGTTTAATGCCATCTTTATATTTTTTTGTTCTCTGATTTTTTTAACAATGAGCGTATAACCAAAAAAATAATAAATTATGTATTCAGAAAAAGTAAATCTATGTTTATATTGGTATAAAAGTTAAATATTTATGTGGCAAATTAAAAAATAAAATTACATTAGCCATGAAATATATATCCTTTTGTTGACATGAAACTGATGGATCTGAAATGGATGTTTTGACATGGCCCCCTGGGTAAGGGGGTTGCAAGCAGAACCTAATGGAAAGGCTTTACTTTGCTGGCAAGTGTGGGGTTTTCAAAGATGCCGAGTGAGGCTGAGGTGGTTGGAGGACGCTCCTGGGTCGTCACAAGCACCTTTGCAGGTGTGACATGCCTGATATGGTTCCTCACACTGAATTTCTTTCTTTTGTAGAAACGTCTATTCAGATAAACTTTCCTATGACTGTTAAAGTTGATGGTGTAACTCAAGATGGAACCACCACGTTCATTCATAACAAAGTTCACAATCGGACAAGGACCCTCAGATGTGCAGGGGTGAGTGCGTGCGGTGGTCCCTGATCGTGCTACAGTGTCAGACTTGCTTTTTAGTAAAAAAATTGAGTCAGACCAATGATCGCATGGAAAACTCATCTAACTTTATACACTGATACCATTATGAATGCTTTTAAACGTACACATGTGCTGCACACAGACACACACATACACACGTGCAGAAACACACATAACATGCACACACATGTGTGTGCACACACTCTGAGCACATATGACATGATACCTGCTTTTACCATTTGTGAACTCACTGCCTGGTGTGTCCATAGGTGACTATGGATGGGCCTCCTGTCACTCATGTCTGCCATGGTCATTTTTGATCGCGGGACTTTGGGTTGTTTGCAGCTGTGTGACGGACTCCCTGATCTGCTGGGGGCTGTGACCTGGGCCTCTCAGGAAGCGTGGCCTACATGCTGAGCTACTTCAGGGCGCAGTGCGCGGCCCTGGGATAGGAAACCCGATGGCCCAAAGTGGGACAGGACCCCTCGCCCTTGGTTGTTGTCGGCCCTGCCTCCTGTCAGAATCGGAAGAATCAGAACATGGTCCCGACTGTGGTGAGGAGGCCCCGCCAGGACCCTGAGGCTGCGTGGAGAATGTGGCTGGCACCAGAGGAGCATGAGGTGGATTACAGGGCTGGGACAGCAGTTCCCGACGAGGTCTCACACCGGGCACCTCCCAGACGTTACCTCACTCAGGCCTCACAGCAGGCCCACGGAGCGGCATCTGTCATTAGAACCCCACTTTATACAAGAAGAAACTCAGGCTTAGAGAGGTCGAGACACTGGCCCAAGGCGGCACAGATAGTGAGGGAAGGGGCCAGGATTCAGCCCTGCTTTCATTCCGAAGCCTGTGGCCTTAATGCCCACTCACACCTAGTTCATAGCAGTGAGGTACCGGGCCTGTTCATCCCGGTGAGAAGGGACTCAGGGAAGGATGCCTGCTCAGGGGCGGGCCACTGGCTGTGGTCCCTCTGTGCGGATGGCTCTAGAAGACCCTGAAGTAGGTCGGGACCACAGCCTGAAGGGGAATGGGTTGTTGGAAAGTGCGGCTGGCAGTGCTGCCCTCTGCCATCAGAATCACTGCCGTGTCTGCTCCCCAACCTGAGCAGGGGCTCTGCTGTGCTGGGTCTGTCACCTGGACGAGGCAGGTGCTGCTTGGGAAGCCCCACAAGTGACCGGCCTCTCATCTGCCTCCATTTATCACTGGCGTGAGTCGGGCCGGGCCAGTTTCTAACATGTATTTTCCTCGTCCGTAAGGGGATGATTACACCTACCCTGCCTGTCTGGAAAGTGGCGAGGATCAAGTTGAATGTCGTATGAGAGCGTGCGGCATTTGTGCCAGCGCGAGGCATCCGCATAACCCCATGTGCCTGTACGGCAGGTGCTCCATTAGTGCTGCTGAATAAACAGGAGGGGCGACAGGAGTGGGTCTGTGAGGACCACTGTACGAGCAGCAGCCTTCCGTGCACGGCCAGGCAGATGGCCTGGAGCCTGGCCTCGGCAGCTGGCAATGCTGTTTCTCGATGACAGGTGGCCAGTGACTTGATCCTGGGCTAGTGTAACTGATCTTTCTGGTGTGTCTGGGACTGGGGGCTTTCCCAGAACTTAGGGCTTTCCTTTTTAAAATGGGGACTGTCTCAGGCCCACTGAGATGAGTTGGCCGCCCTGCCTGAAGCCCGATTTTTGATCTGAGCCAGGCTGCCACGAGGCCGCTTGTCTGCACTGCCTCTTAGAAGCGCCTGCCATACCCTGTCATGGTTTCTCCCCACCCCCGTTGGTGGCTCCACTTTAGTTTGCGCTGTGCCACCACTGGGGACTTCTTCTATGGTTCTCTCTCTGTTCACATCATCTCCCCCCTAACCTTGCAAAGAGCATTGCCCTGACTTAAAAAAAAAAGATGGATTTTTTTGTTACGGAGCTATTGACCACACGCACCACGGCTTGAACTTAGGGCCCCAAATCCTCAGGTGTTTTCACTGTAGTTTTTTTAAACTTGAAGATCTATACAGCCTGAGGTAGACCTCTTCTTAATTGAACACCCCTGTAAATCCAGAAAGATTCCTAACTTATAAGAAGTGCTTATCTGTGCAGCACAAACACGTTCACTGATGTAAACCTGTTCATCCTGCACAGTCCTTAGCTGCCCCTCCCCGTGCATCACCCTGTGACCTGAGTGTGGAGACAGGTGGGTTTGGTCTTAATGAGACCAGGGCCCTGGGAGCAGGTGGCCGGTCACATGAGGGAAGCTGATTGGGTGGAAGAGAAACCACAGCTCAAATGTGATAAAAATAGCCACTGCCTTGCGCTTCAGCCATGGGAGAGCAGGGCCTGTGGTCATGAGAGCTCCCATCCGTCCCCCAGCCCATGGCGGTGGCCTGAGGGTTTTGAGAGATTCTGAGCAGCGCCTTCATGTCGCCTTCACGCCCCGCACACTCGCCTCTTCTCTGCCTTCTTTCCTGCACTTAGGTCTCTGCCGATTGTCCTCTTACCTTTTCGAGGCTTGTTAAGATCCACCCAGACCTGCGTTCCTCCCCTGACCGCAGACATTCCGGGCTTGGGAAGCCTTTGGTCAGTGGTAGGGGTGACCCTGCCCTGTTCAGAGCCACAGTGCTAACATGCCACCCAGAAAGCCATAGATCTGCCTGTTCGTTCTGGGCACAGAGTGTCTCCTGTCAGACGCCGAGAGGACTTCTGAAGGGGCGTGCTGGCCGGGCCGGCGTGGCTGGGCAGAGGTGTGTGGAGAGTGGTCTGCTTGCCTGGCCCCATACACATCTGTGTCCCCCTTGCCACTCTGAAAAGGAGACCCAGTTCTTAATTCTGAAGGTCAGAAGAAAGGAGCTCTTGGCAGATAAACAAGTACACGCACCACATCATCACATCAGCTGTTGTTCTCACGGCCCTTGGCTTGGAGGCGTTCTGACCTCCTAACAGAGTCTGTAGGGGCCTCCCTGTCGGGAAAGAGAGGCTAATCGGGAGGGAGAAAAACACGGAATCCACTGTGTGTCATTAGAGCAGGTGCAGCCCTGGGCCCAGGAGGAAGGTCAGGCGAGGGGTCTCATCAGCGTGCTTAGCTTACGTTTCCTGGGCACAAGGGCACCAGTGGAAACAGCAGGTTTGTGTTGCACTGTTAACTTTCTTATGCAGGTGCATATTATTTTGAATCATCCAAAGTAAAAAAGAGTTTAATGACTATAATATGATTTAATTTGTTTCCAAAAATACCCATTTGCGTCTTTCTTTCTAAGAACTGTTTTTGGCTGGCATCTGAATTTTTCTGGGCTTCTGGCGCGTTCCCTGGAGATGATCATTTCTGATCATCTGCTGTTGAAATGTGTTACTTTGTGGGTCAGTTGGCGGGAGAGTGTCTTGTTTGCTCTAAAGGCACAAATCTTCCTGTGTCTTTGCAGAAGTGTGCGGAAATTATCGTGGCTCACCTCGGCTACCTGAATTACACTCAGTATACAGTGATTGTGGGATTTGAAAACCTGACTCGACCCATCAAGGAAATGAACTTCACAGTAAGTGTCCCAGCTGACCTCATTTGCGCAGCTTGTTCAGTTCCCATTCTTCTGTTGAGTGAGTGAAATTACACAGCATCGAAATCATGGCATTTTGGACAGTGGGAGACATACAGAGTTTTTTAAAAAATTATAGGAAAACTACAATTTCTTAAGGATATGAAACCAAGAATAGCTTAAAGAAACAGCATGCCATTGGAACACCTTTGTGGTGTTTCTGAGACTTAGAGCACAGCGTATAGTGTTCCGTCGGGAGGTAGGTAAGAGCCGTGCTGGAGCCCTCCTAGGAAGGCAGGGCTTCCTTCTCCAGCCCCTGCGTGGCCCTCAGACACTGCGGGAACTCGCTCTTATGTGGCCTGCCAGAGCTGCATAGGTGCGCTGTTAGCCTTTCCTTGCTCGTGTCCAGCTGCAGCCCACCCCCCTGTTCCTTCCACTCACTGGAAGGTGGTGTAACCCGCAGAGTGGCTAGGAGCACGGGCTTTCGATCGGATGGGTGTACTGGGTGCAAGTCCAGGAGCCGTCACTTACAGTTTGACATTAGTGAGCCTCCACGTCCTTATCTGTAAAATAGCTACCGCATTAAGCTGTGGCTATTAAATGAAGGTCCTAATGGGTTCCTTTTTGAAAATAACACTTTATTTTCAAAATAAATTGTATGATATGTGAGTTATATCTCAATAACTCAATTTACCCTTTTACAGCGTACAATTCGGTGGTTTTTAGTGTATTCACTGAGTTGTGCACCCTGTACCACTAATTCCAGAGTGTTTTATCACCCCAAAAAGAAGCCGATTAGTTCTTATTTCCCATTCCTCCCCTGGCCCCTAGCAATCACAGTCCCCTGTCTCTATGGATTTGCCTATTCTGGACATTTCTGCCTGTTCTGGACATTTCATATGAATGCAGTCATATAGTATGTGATCTTTTGTGAATGACTTCTTTCACTAAGCATAACATTTTCAAAGTTCATCCATGCTGTTGTGGGTATCAGTATTTCATTCCTTTTTTGCTGAATAATATTTCACTGTGGTATACTACATTCTGTGTATCTCTTCATCAGTTGATGCACATTTTGGGTTGTTTCCATTCTTGGCTATTACGAATAATGCTGCTGTGAACATTTTAGTAAAGAAAACTAGAAGGTTGTCTCAGTGGTGGGCTTAATTTTTTTTTCTCTTTTTCTTCTATTTTTCATAATGAGCTCTTATTACCTTTATAATCAGAAGAGAAAATTAATATATACATATACATATAGGTGTATATGTATATAGGCTCCTAAAACAACTGCTGTTAAAGGGGAAGTACAGGATACACTCTAACCAGTCACTCTGAGGAGCTGGATTATGGGAGAGCAGCCTTAGAGAATCACAGGGTAACATTATGTCTCCAGCTTGGATAGAGAGGCAAGAAATTAGAGAACCTTGTGCAAAATGTTTTTTTGTGTTTATAAAGTTGCTCTTAAAGACAGTATCCATTATGTTGTGAACTTTGACCCAAACCTCCAAGCAGAATTCCTTTTGTCCATATGTTAGGACTCCTTTCCTGAGAGCAGGGAAGCTGAATAACTCATCTCAGTTCTCTCTTGGTGTTAGCTGCTACACATTTCAGAAATAAGTTTTATGCGGAACTGTAGTTATTCCTAACATCTTGGTATTGGTTTTCTGGTATAATTATTTACTCTCGTTACAATTTTACCCTTTGAAAAACATTGGAAATTGTTTCTATTGAATCTGGCTTTTTAATTATAAGCTGCCTTTATTCCTTTTCAGAAGTAAACAAAGTATAAGGAATAAAATACATCTTTAAAGTATGTTAGCAATACTATTACACAACCGAATGGCTAAAATGAAAAGGACAAGAAGATGCCAAAGTTGGCAAGGGTGTGGCAACCCAGAGCTCTCCTGCTGGTAAAAGAGTGAATTGATGCAGTAGAAATGCGGGCACATATTGGCCCAAAGACATGCATTTAAGTATTAATATCACAGGGGCTCAATTCTCAATAGCTCCAAACTGTAAGCTACTCACTCATCAACAGTGGACTGATTGCACAGACCGCGGTCTGTTCCTATAATGGAATATTATACAGCAATGAGAATGAATGATAATACCTACATGCAACATACGGGATAACTTCCATAAGCATGAAATTGAATGAAATAAGCCAAATACATAATAGTACGTAGTGTATGATTCTATTTATATAAACTACATCAACAGGCAAAATGAATCTGTGCTATTCAATCATGATTAGTGTTACTCTTGGTAGGTTAGTGACTCGAAGGGGCATAAAGGGAGGGGTGTCTGGGTGCCATGATGTTTCTTGATAGGCATCTGTTTATGCTGGTGTGTTCAGTTTGGGACGTCCATTGAGCTGCACACTTGGGATTATGTGTCCAGTTGTTACTGAGCGTATTACCTTTCAGTAAAAACTGAACCAAATCTGTAATGCGCTTTAAATCAGAGCTCATGAGGCTGCTGCCAGGTAAGCACCTACATTTCCTTAGACAGTTCTCGCTTCTTCAGCAGAATTTGACTTTTGAGAGTTTCTATTCCTTTTGTTTGGCATTTCCTTGGAAATCTTTGGCGTTTGGAGTTTTGAGTCATGTTCTCTCAAAGCCTAAGGTCCATTCTCACCGCATGTGGTGGTGCCCTTGGCTCCAGGGCCACATGGTCACCTTCCCCTGGGCATCACTATTGGTTTCACTTGCCAGTTCTTCCTCCCTGAGGAAAACCAAGTTCAGGGTGAGAATTACACTAGTTGCTCCTTCAGCCTCCTGGGAGGTAGAATTGTCACCAGGGCAAGGCCAGAGTGTTCAGACGCTGTTTATGGCATGTGTCTATCCTTAGTAGACATCTAGATGGTTGGTGTCCCTTTTCCTGCCTCAGCCCGTGTGGAGGCGTTACCGCCTGTCTGGCCTTGTTGTTGATGCCATGTCCCCTTAATTTGAGGAGCTTGATTTTCTCTCCTTTGTCCTCAGTCCCATATTCTATGACCCTTTGGTTCATTGACTTCTGCTTAAATATATATCTTTCTGAAGTAGAGTGGCATCCTTCTATAATATCTCTGCCTCTTTTATCAGCTCTTGTTCTTCTGAGCACACTGTGCCTACACCCCATTGCCATGTCCAAGTCAAGCTCGCCCTCCGGGTCTTGCAGGTGCTTATGAGGTGCTTGTCTCCTGTGGTTTTCCAGGCTCGTTTCTGTGGCCATGCTCTGCATGTGCAGTGGAGTGCGGACTTTAGACACCATGCGGATTGCTTTTACTCACTTCTCTGTCCTTGTCTCCTGAGTTTGGCGAGCACCTTCTCTACACACATCACAGCAGCACCATGTCTTCACAGTGAAGCGCTTTCCCTTCTAATTAATTCTTCTCCAGGTCAATTCTTGCGTGACACTCTCACCAGCTGCTCATGTCTCATTTCCTCCTTTTCCTTCCTAAGCCACGGCCTTTGACTGGGGGATGAGATTAAAACAGCAACCCATGTTTCCAGGTCCTTCAGTTTTCTGTCCAGGGGACACCCTCTGGTTTCCTCGTGAGTTGAGAAGACGGGCAGCAGGCATTGATGAGCGCCGAGTGGCTCCTTGCTCACACTCGACATGTTCATATGGGACAAGCTGCGGAAGCAGGGCTTAGGCTCCCCACCCCCAAGTAGCTCTGTATAATATCTTTCACTTCAGTTTTCAAGTCTTGGAAAGCCAGGCTGTGCATCTGAGCATGGGACCTGATGCCGGGGGGCTGCTTAGCGCTGCACAGGTTGCTGGGAGCAGCATGGACCTGAGCAGCCTGTACCTGCCACGCCCCCACCCTGTGTGTTCCTCTGGCTTTCCTACTTGGAGAATTCTCTGAGGGTGTCATAAAATATTTGTTCTCTGCCAAAAAATTAGTCAGCTCCTGGAGGCATTTTTACTGATTTTATTTTTTTTAAGTTCAATTGTGTCATATCTGCACAGGATTTGACATCATATTTACTTGCATGTAGTCCAAGTAGGTGCTCAGCAAATGCTGAGCAGAGGAACTGGACCAAACCTGTAGGTTTTAATTAGGGAGAAGTAACCCAGGTCATGAAGTCAGCACTTGTTCCAAATGTCAGTTCACGGTATGACAGGGTGAGCCCAGTCCCTGAAAGGACAAAGACGGCTTTGTGAATGCCAAAGGACCTTGACATAAAAGCCGAGAATAGATGGATAGCTCTTAAGATTTCAGAGTAAACGTCTGGAGCCTGAGTGTTTTCTGGGATGTCATTCTGTTCATTTCCTTTTACTTATTTTAATTACAAATTTGGCACTTAAAAATAAAAGCAAAAACAAAATCCCCTAAGTCCACAGAATTAGGTTCATACAGTGGCCGCTCATAATCATGGTGCTGGTCCGGGCACTCGCCGGCTCTGACGGAATCTCTGGACCCTTCTCCTCACAGCCCCGACGTCACTGGATCCACGGTGATGGGGGGTGGGGTGGGGGCCAGGGCCCTGGTCTCTGAGCTTCACGCTGTCTTCTTGGGCTCACTCAAGGGAAAAGAAAGACTTTTCAAGCCCTTGGTACAAATGAATGCCAGACCGAGCTGTGAGACCGGCCTGGCGTTGGAGGAACACACAGGTGGTTCCTGGCAGCAGCTGCTAACAGGGCAGCCTCCCTGAGGGAAGTCGTGTGTGGAAATGGTTCCCTGGACCAGGAAGCGGAGGGGAAGGGGCAACAGGAGGAAAGCACGACTGGACGGGGGTAACACGGGCCCCGGGCGCCCGCCGCACCTGGTATCGGCTCGGCGCGCGGCACCCAGTTCTGAAGCCCTGCGCTGCCATCACCTTTCCCCTCCCCCCTCCAATTCACTCACGTGTTAGAACTCAAATGCAGATTTCAGGTCGAGCTATGTTTATTGAATAAAGCATTGTTTCCTAGTGCTAATTTTAAAACCAAGTTGAGGATAAAAACACATACTTTCTTCATTGTTACTTTAAAAGTATTTTGTGAGTTTTTTCCTCATGGTCACACTTCTTTTTTCTGTGTTGATTATGCCTTAGAATTTGTTTTTTCAGCTAAGATGTGTATTACACTTTTTCTATTTGAATACTATGTTCATAGCAACCCTCCCCTGGTCCATGCTCGTAATCACTACCGTGGTCATTCTGTAAATGATGCCGTTGTAAGACCTAAGCACGTAGCGATATCATAATAGTTGTATTACATGATGGATTTCTAATAGCAGCTGTTATTGACTGAACTTCTGCTATTTGCCAGGCACTGTGCTGAACTTTTCAACTGCATCATCTTACTTAGATATTATGATAATTCTACAAAGTAGGTAATAATAGTACCCCCATGGTATGGAGGAGAAATCCAAGGTTTAGTGAGATTAAGTAAGTTGCCCAACTAGGAGACAGAAGAGCTGGGTGTCCCTGACTTCACATTTCACGTGCCCTTAATCGCTGTGGTCTCCACTCTCCCTTTGACGTCAGTTGTTAGCTGTTGGTTTTTGTCAGATAGCTTTATTGAGTGTAATTGACATACAGTGAAGTGCACGTATTTAAACTATAAAATCTGCTCCATTCTGATATCTGGAAGTACCTGGGAAACCATCACCATAATCAAGGGAAGAGGCACACCCATCCCTACATGCTTTCTCACAGCCCTGCCCTGTTTCGTCTGACCCCAGGCCACCACTGATCTGCTTTCATTAGAGGTACATCTGCATTGTCTAGAATTTTATGTAAATGGAATCACAATATGTTTGAATTCTTTCGCTCAACATAATTATTTTGAGACCGATTGCTGATATGGGGTATGTCAGTAGTCCACTCCCTTCTGTGCCCGAGTCCACTGTGTAAATATGGCAATAACTGTGTATCTGTTCACCCACGGATGGGCATTTAGATCGTTTCCAGGTCTGGGCTGTTATGAACAAAGCTGCTGTGAACACTGGGTATAAATCTTTACCTGGACATGTGCTCTCATTTCTCTTGGGTAAATACCTAGGAATGGAATGGCTGGGTCATAGGGTAGGGGCGTGTTTAACTGTTTAAGAAACTGACAAACTGTTTCCCAAAGTGGTTATATTGTTTTACGTTCCCACCAGCAGTGAGAGTTCCAGTTGCTTCACATCCTCGTCAGCGCTCATGGTCAGTGTTTTTCATTTTTGGCCATTTCGATAGGTGTTACAGTGTGGCTTTAATTTACAGTACTTTGAAAATGTCGTCTTCTGGCTTGCATTGTTCTGACGAGAAATCTGCTGTCCTTGTATTTGTCCTCTGTAATAATGTCCTTCCCCTTCTGCCTCTTCTACCCCCACTTTTAAGAGTTTTCTCTTGTACTTATTTAAACAATTTGATTATCATGTTCTTTGGTATACTTGTCTTCAGATTTCTTGTACTTAGGGTTCATTGAGCTTCTTGGGTTTGTGAGTTTATTGTTTTCATCAATTTGGAAACATTTTGGCCATTATTTCTTCAAATATTTTTTTTTTATCCTCTTGCCCCCAAATTTCTTTGGGGGCTCCAAATATACATCTTAGGCCACTTGAAGTTGTCTCCCAGCTTATGGGTGCTCTGTTTATTTTTATCTCTGTTTTATTGTAGATGGTTTTTATTGCTGTGTCTTCGGGTTCACTGATCTGTGTACTGTCTGCTGTGCTGTTGGTCATTTTCCAGGCCTCTGCTTCATGTCTAGTCTTTCCTCTAGCGTCTTGATGTCCTTATCTGCTGATTCTGTCATCTGTGATGCCTTGGTCAGTTTTGATTAAGTACTTTTTTCCTCATTATGGTTCATATTTTCTTGCTTTTTTATGTATGATATTTTTGATTCAATGCAAGCATTACTGTTGTTAGAGCTTGTATCCTTATAAATATCCTTGAGCTTTGTTCAGGGATGTTATAAAATTACTTGGAAATGGTTTGATCTTTTTAGGTCTTGCTTTTAAACTCCCTTAGGTAGGACCTAAGCAGCATTAAGTCTAAGGGTAATTCCCCCCACTGAAGTAAAAGCCTTGGGAGCACGCTGCCCAATGCCTGTGACTGCGTTCCCCTCCCCCCGCACCCAACTCCCTGCTGTGGGAGCAGGCGCTGTTACTGGCCTCTGTGAGTGTCCGTGAGCCTTTCAGGGATTTTTCCAGCCCTGGGTGGTTTCCTCACGCTCACGCGCTGGTCAGCGTTCAGGTGAAGGTGTGAGGAGACGGCCTCTGGCAGGTGTCTGGTGCTGTCTGTCTCTCTGTACAGCTCTCCTCTCAGTGCTCTGTTTTGTGAACCGGAGCTGGTGAACTGTCTCCCTGCTCTCCCAGCAATGTGTTCACGGCCTAGGGAGACCACTAGGCTCTGCTTGGGTTCCCCCATGACTTGGGGCTGGCAGACAGCGCACTTCCTTCCTATCAGCCAGAGGTTTTTCTCTCTCATTGCCTCACGTCCATTGTCTTAAACTGTGGTATGTGCATGGGCGCTTGTGTGTGTGTTTCAGGCAAGTTTAAATCTAGTGTCTGTAACTCTGTATCTGTTCTAAAGTGGGTTTTTGAAACTGCTCAGGTGATTTTAATTCAGTGCATTAAGTGATGGGGCTCATTGGCCCAGTGCCACGTCCTGGGGTCTGGTGGTGAATCTGGCTCCGGCTTCTGACCGCTTGTGGCCTGCATCCTCAGCTCTGTTAGGTGTACACCTGGCACGAGTGAAACTACCCAGTCACCGTGAGCACTGGCAACTAATGCCATTGTGCTTTTTTGGTTTCAGATTCATTTTTATGTTTCACTTTATCTTTTTTATAGCATCCTACCTACTCGCAGTTTTGCATCTTAAAACAAAAATCTGGGGGGAGGGGAGTTGTTACTTTGTGAGGGGTAAAAAGGATAACTATTGCATTTTTTTGTACTCCTGAAACTAATAATAATAAATAATTTTTTTAAAAAAAATCTGTTTCTTTTCATGGAAAGCATGGCTCTCTCTACTAAAGAGATGAACAGTGTTGACTTTTTATATGAGGTTTAAAAGCCAGATGCTCTTACTACGATTATAGAATAAGTTATCTGCCCGTCATCGCTCTCGATCTGAAACTATTTTCAGCCCTTGGTAATGAATATTCACAAAGTCTTGTTCTTCAGACTTAAAAATCAAATATATAAGTGTTAAAATTTTAGAGCACATAGAAGGGATAAGGTAAGAGAACATTTTAAATTACCTGCCGTCTCACAGGAAGAGATAACTATCATGACTAACCCGGTGTACTTCCTTTTAGATATATATGTGTTTTTCAGATTGTTCCCACTTTCCATTTTAGTGGAAGACTTACGACCCTGCGTTTTCCCAGTGGGAAGTTTGGTTCCGGTTCGTCTTTCTGGTGCTGACTTTCATTGTCACTGTAAGTACCATTCACCTGACAGACGCGTCAGACTCTTGAAAGGGCAAAGTCAGTTTATGGTTTGTGATTATCAAAGTGTGAACGTCCCGGGAGACCTGTATGAACTCTGAGACACTCCGTCCAATGGCTGACCTGATATTACTAAACATTCTCTATGTCTGCTGGCTGCTGCTGTGCAAAAAGAGTGCTGTGGGCTCTTTTAGCAAGGACGTCTGTTAGTGGAGCAGTAATCGCAGATCACTGACTTGTACGTAAGCTCTCGTCAGTATGCAGTGACACATGCCACGTCCCGCGTGGTAGGAAGCCTGTCTTATTTGAGTGACCTGTGAGTGCAGACACAGCACATTCTTGGGTTTTTACACCTGGAAAGTGGCGCCAGACCTTGCAGCCTTTTCAGGAGTGAGGCCACAGACGAGTGGGTTTGGAAGTGCAGACTTCTGGCTCTTTTGGGATCCAAGCTCAGTGTCCACATGCACCATGCCGCTTTGGGGGAGATGCTTCCCCTTAATGCACAGGTGATCCCCACAGAGGCCCCGTCAGTGAAGGTGGAACTTAGACACTGGAGGAGGAGGGAACGTGCCTCACCTAGTGGCTGACCGCTGTCTGCAGGGTGCTGTTCGTCCTGCGTCGGCTGCCTGCTCCCTGCTGGTGCAGAGGGTGTGACATTAGGAGATGTGTCCCTCTTCGCAGTGGTGGCCACTCCAGTTGCCACCCGAGGAACACTTGGTGCTTCGCAGACTAACTATACAGGGGGATGCAGGCTCATGGGAGACAGTGAGAAAAGTGCCAGACTGCTGTGACCTGGGACCTAGGTGTGGACAGAGGGGGTTGGAGAGGACACACAGCCACTAGAACACGGGCAGCTGGGGATTGTGGCCTCAGGCCACGCCCAGGGCCTCCCCGAGTGAACTCACAACAGGAAAGTGGAGAACTTGCATTGGTCAGCCAGGAATCTTTGCTATTTCTTGAAGCACCTGTGGCGCCTGGGATCCTGCTGCCACACTCTGGGGCCCAAAGCCCTGGCGCCAGGGCCCTGCGTCCTTAAACAAGAGAAATGGCCTGAGCCTGACAAGCTGTGGGAATGACCCCTCCGTCTAGGAAGTCCAAATTGCCTAGAAAATTATTGGCTTGTGTTAGATTACAGAAAAAACAAAAACAAAAAATAACTCCAGGCCTGAAAATCGCAGATTGTTGAACTTTAATGAACTTTTAGTTTAAACAGCTTCTCCCATGGGCGAGTGCACCTTCCTACAGTCACCTTCTGACCGTGGCTGTGGCCATGTTTCCTTGGCTTTTCCTCAGGGATCCCTGGTGCCCTCCCTATAAGCTGGTCCTATCTGCGGATGTTGCACTGCCCGGAGCGTGCAGCCAGGGTCTCGGGGAGGTCCTTCTTGGTGGGGCTCCCTTACGTTCCTGTCCCTACCACCTGATAAGAATAGCTTGTGACCATCTGATCTGGGCCCTTTGCAGCAGTTCACCGTCTTGTCTCAGTCAGTAGTCATTTCAACATGGGGTTACTCAGAGGCCGTGGCTGGCACCATGCCCATCCATTGGGCAGACTCGCGTGACGCCCACGGGTGTGAGCCGGGACAGTGACTGGAGCCTGATTGGGTTTGCAGTGCCTGTTTGCACATTCCCTCCGGAAGTTCTCCATGCGGGACTGGGGCATCGAGCAGAAGTGGATGTCCATTCTTCTGCCTCTGCTGCTGCTTTACAACGGTAGGTGCTGTTTCGGTTCTGGAGTTTTCCCCTTTAAAATGTACAGCTGGCAGGCATCTGAGACGTGGCCTGGCCCAAGTCTCTGGAAGTGCCTGGCGTGGGGTGGGGGGCAGAAGGACCAGGCAGTAGCGCCCCCCAGCACGAGTGATGCTGGACCAGGGCTCAGCCGATGCCCGGCCGCTTTCACAAATGAGTGACTGCTTTGGTGGTTAAAACCTGGAAGGGCTACAGAGACAGCCTTCTCAGAACTTGGCTGGCAGTGACAAGCACTGCCGTCTGTTCCTTGTCCGCTGCTCCAGGAGGCCGTGGCTTCCAGAGCTGCAGCTTCGGGGTTGCCAGGCCTGTGGGCAGGAGCGGATGGCGGGAGCAGGCGGTACTCTGTAATGATCACTGGAGCAATCTGTTCATTGCTTTCAGGGTTTCTGAAAAACAAACCAGCCTTTAGTTCGTCGCCTTCCCAGGTGCTGGCGTTCCGCCTTCCTCAGGCCCCCTGCCTTTTGCGTTTCAGATCCGTTCTTCCCTCTCTCCTTTCTGGTGAACAGCTGGCTCCCGGGAATGCTGGACGACCTCTTCCAGTCTGTGTTCCTGTGCGCCTTGCTGCTCTTCTGGCTGTGCGTGTACCACGGCATCCGGGTCCAGGTGAGCGCGGCCGCGGGGGTGGGGGCCTGGCCTGTGTCGGCCTCGCCGGTCGTCCTTACGACGAACTTACACTTGCGAACCCATCTCCAGCCTCGTCATCAAGAGAAGAATGCACTCGTGTAGAAATGATTTGAGTATCTGTGATCCAGTGTGGTCTATTAGGGGTTAGTGGTTTGCTAGAATTACTAACTTCTCTATACCTTACTCTTTTTTTTTTTTTTTTGCTTTTTAGGGAGAAAGGAAGTGTTTGACTTTCTATTTGCCTAAATTCTTCATTGTTGGACTATTGTGGCTGGCTTCTGTCACACTAGGAATATGGCAGACGTGAGTAATTTGCTGTGTGTGAAACTTCAGTATGGAAAGCCCATGGCACTGTGGACAGATTCAGAGTCTGACTGTATGTTGTAAGCTCACCCAAAAAGGAATCTGTCACCCAGTGTCTCAAGATGGGCACTGTGACTTGAACCGAGGGTTCATTTTTGCTTGGATGGCACGTAGAGATACACACGGTTCTTCTAGCTTAACATGGAAAGTGAAACCGACCGCGTCGTTTTAGGTTCCTCCGTCAGAGGCGAAGGCTGCATCTGGAGGATGACAGGTCGGCTGCCGTCCACCAGCTGTTGTAGTCGCTGCCCTTAGTCGCCTGCGTCTAGAGACTTCCCCGTCCTTACATGAGCTCCCAGGGTTTATCTTTGTTGGTACTTCAGTCCTTTGGTAAAATGGTGCCACCACAGAAGCCTGATGGATTTTCTGCACAGACTAGTTGCATTTCAGGGGCATGATTTTGGCCCCTGCCACATCACACTTCATGACGCAGTAGTGGCAGACGGAGCTCGCACCTTCTCCACTTCCTTCTCCCTGCCTACCTGTCACTTTAAAATGAGTTTCATGGAAGTTTGTATTTACTTTTATTGCTTTTTTTGTGTACTCATCTTTTTCCTAGTGCCCATGTATGTCATTGAAAAGTGCCTGGGAAACATCTTAAAATTGCAAGAGAAATAGTGTAGAGATTTTCATAATGAAAAATTCTGCAACTTCACAATGCTGGTGACTGGACAGTTGTATGCATTGTATGTATTTTCAGTGTGAAATTTAGTATTTCTCATAAATTTAGGATTACTTTTTAAAAATCCTTTACTGTTGATTAGCAATACTTTATATTAATAAGTTTAAAAATCTAACTGAAAGTATAAAATAAATAGTAAACTTGTTACTAATCTACGATTTTTTTTATAACATTTTTAGAGTTAATGAATTACACGATCCAATGTACCAGTATCGAGTCGATACAGGAAATTTTCAGGTAAGGATTGTTAATGAAGCCTAAGGAATTTTTTTTTAAATGGTATTTTTAAAAAATATTGGATTTTGTAACTTAAATTATGCTGTCAACACGAGCTTGCTAACTGGCCATTTGGGAGGGATTTTAGAAAGTTCATGGGTGGAAAATGTAGAAAAACATGTTTGAGTAGTATGAAAAATAAACTTTAAACAGCTGTTGTCACTCCCAGTCCGCGGTTTATGGGTGACGTTCCAGGGCCAGAAGGGGTGTCAGACTTTAGGAACATTGTAGAACAATTAAGAAAACAGTTTTGTTCATTTAATTCTCTAAAGTAGCAGGAGGTTTCCAGTGAGCGGAGGCGTGGCCAGGGCCTGCCGCCGCCAGGACTCCGGTGGCGCTCTCTGTCCCAGTCCTGGAATTCTTCACCCCTTTTGAACAAGGGGCCCGCAAATGACAGTCACTCCTGAGTGTGGCTTTCCCTCAACTCCCCAGGCTGTGCGGGCTTCTCAGCGCAGCCCCTCCTGGGCACAGCTCCCTGAGCTCGGCGTGGGTGTGCTCGGTGCCCAGGGGCACGGGAGCCCCGCTAGGAGCCTCCGAGTCATGTTCCCAGAGGCACAGAGTTGAATCCTGACCGTGGGTGACATCCAGCATTTCTCTGGCTTTGCAGAGCTTCCTGGAGGCGGGGCGAGGGGGATGATACAATCTTGGCTCTTTGTGGGAATGGCTGCTGAGAAAGAGTGCAGTTAGTGAATGATGCTATGTTGGGAAGATGTTTAACTTGTGTTGTCGTTGCAAAGATAGGAAAACCGAGGTCCAGAGAGTTGAGACTTGGCTGAGGAATTCTCAGGATCTGGTCCTGGGTTCCTTCTCTGACACGTGCCCCCATCTTCATAGGCACTGCAGGGAGGCAGGCCTCGCCCTGGGGAGACAGACAAGGAGGAGCCACTGCCATTTATTGAGCACCTGCTACACGCCAGGCCCTGTGTGTGCTAGGGGCTTTATACGCATGTACAGGAAGGAGTTCTTGCTCATCTGATTAGCAAAGTCTAGAGTCCTTTGGAGCCATCTGCACTCCCAGAGAGCCCGAGAGGCTGGGCCCGGCCTTGCTCTGGTTTAGGGAGGGACCTTCAGGGCTCTAGGTCCCTTTTCGTGTTTGCCTTTCCTGCGGATGGTGGTGTTAGACAGCGAAGCCGCACTGAGACCCCATCTTCATCCCAGCGCCATCTTATTTCATTCCAGGGAATGAAGATTTTCTTCATGGTGGTGTCAGTGGTGTACATTTTATACCTTTTGTTCCTGATAGTGCGGGCCTGTTCTGAGCTACGTCACATGCCTTATGTAGGTAAGTGCCACTTCACAAACGCCCAGGGCACAGTGGGTCAGCATTTATCTTCACGCAGAGGAGGGGTGGGGGGAGGGGTGGCTGGAGGCCACCAAACAGGTGGCCTGACCTGGAGGGGAAGACCCAGGGACTTGTCCCATTCCCACAGACTGGAGCCACAACAGGGCTGAATGATAACTCTGGGCCATGGGGACAGTGCCCCGGGCCAGCGCTGGCAGGAGGCCTGTGGGCTGGCAGCCAGCTGGGGCCCTGGGTGCCAGTGTGGCTGTGGGAGCTGCCTGGATCGTTCCAGCGTTGCGCCTTGTGGGGTGGCTGGCCGGGCGGCCTTCCTAGTCCTTGAGTCAGGGCAGGTCACCTGATTTCGTAGGATCCTTTTCCCCAGTCTGTAACAAGTCATAATGGCCATGGCCTTGTGGGGACCCTCCTGGAATCGGGGAGGTGGGCCAGAATTTCTCCTGTGCTTCAAGTACACACAGGTTTGAAGTCCAGAGGGAAGTGGGGTTTTGTTCAGGGGGTTTTGCTTTATTTTCATCTGAGATGAAGTGGAATGTACCTCTAAGGCGGTTTCATGGGGATATTTTTTTCTTTTTCAGATCTCAGGTTAAAATTTTTGACTGCATTGACTTTTGTAGTGCTTGTCATTAGGTAAGAAGACTTTATTTCTTAATGAAGCAAAACTGTGAGTTTTTATTTTATGCTCTTGAATATCTTTTCTCCCCTTTCACAGAGTTAATTTTAGGGAACTTCTGGCCGAACGTGTTCATTAGGTCAGAGTGGACATGTGGCTTGTCAGAAGTGCCCAGGAAAGCAAAGCGTACGGACCGCAGCATGCCTACCTCGGTGCGCGGGTCACCGGCGTGTGTGACGTTTGCCATGTAGCTGGAGCAGACAGTCAAACTCATGTCAGAGAACTAGAATACTGCATGAGGCACTTGGCACCTTGGGTCCTTTTGATTCTCAAGGAGAGGACTCTAATAAGCAGGAGTTGTTTCTGTTTAAATTCGGTATGACAGATGTCATTGAACTGCACAGGATGTTGGCCCCAGGGGGAAGGACCTGAGAGAGCCAGACTCGAGGGCTGCGGAGGTGGCGGGGGGCCCGTGCCAGGAGCTGAGCTCGCCCAGGAAGTTGTCTCTTTGAATGAATTCCAGATAATTGTTTGGTTGTTTATGGTTTGCCTGTTTCTCTTAAAATCAAAATCCAGAGGGAATAAAATCTAGTTACCTGCATTTCTTTCTTGGTGGTTTAGATGGCAGATACATGGCCGTCAGCCCTGTTCCTTGGTAGGAGCCGTGCTGGGGGGACTCAGAGGCTGGCCTCCCAAGTCTACGTTGGGGGGCGTCCCAGCCTTGTTGAGTGGGGGGACTGTTGAGGGCATCCAGGTGTGTTCACCGCCCTCCAGGAGTTGGATGCCGTGCTCACCAAAGCGTGGGAACTCAGGACTTCCAAATGAGCTTGAGTTTCATTCAGCCTCTAAATTTACCTGAAAGTAATGGAGCGTGTATTATACGGAGTCAGTCTCTCTTCCGTGCTTGGCGCAGATGTTGTCTCTGAACTCCTCTTGCGTTCTCACACACACACCTTCAGATCCTCTTACACATGCGCACACGCACACACGCACGGTCGTAACCTCTCTATAGTCTGTCTCAGAAGTTGTTATGCCTTTGTGATCTTTCTTCATGTTCAGAGGGATTCATTTACATGTATTGATGCAGCAATTCTTTATTGAGTGCCTGCTCTGGTGAGCAGGCCGACAGGGTCCTCCCTATCAGGTAAATGAATAGCGTAAGTGCCATAATGAAAATACAACAGAGAGAGATGATGATGGCAGGAGGGAAGCAGCTGCTTCTGATGGGTGGGTAGGGCTCATGTCTCCGAGGTGACATTTGGCCTGGGGCCAAAAGGAGGAACCCTGGAAGTACATGGGACTGGCTCCCCAGGCAGCTGGGACAGCAGTGTCACAGGAGGTAAGGACATGAGCGAGGGAGAGGTCAGGTCGGCCCTGTAAGCCACTGTGAGGGGTGCGGTGTTATTCTCAGTGATGAGAACCCACTGGAGGGCGTCAGGCCGGAGGCGAAGGGACCCGATCTACATCTTGAGTCCAGTCAGCTTGGCTGCGTGTGGAGAATGGACCACAGGGAGGGGAGATGAAAGCTGGGGTGCTGGGTGCAGGCTGTGGGTGGCTCGGGGAAGGCCTGGCTGTGGAGTTCCACATGATCAGAACCTGTTACCATATGTCAGAGGCAGATGTCTGAACAGAGCGTGTTGCTGCTGCACCGTGGGAATCTGGGCCAAGGGGAGGAAGCAGACCTTTTCTCAGGGGAAGCTCGTAACTGTCGTAGGAGATGGTCTTGAAAACATGAACTAAGGGAGTGAGAGATGGGAAGGGAACATGCCAAGGGGTGCTTCAGGGCCCCGATTAGACACTGTGACATGGCCCGTGTCACCGTTAGCTGATTTTGTCCCAGCAGTCAGCCATCCTGGATCTGAGACCAAACACCCAGCAGCAGGGGTGTGTATGCGTGTACTGTGTGTGGACAAATTTCCATGCAGAAATAATAGAAACTAGACTATATAACTGTTAGCAGGGTGAATATAACAACTTATCTGAAGCTGGTGCTATTTCTTCATATATTTTACATATTTCCCTCTTTTTCCCCCCCCCAGCATCGTCATCCTGTATTTAAGGTTTGGAGTGCAAGTATTACAAGACAATTTTGTAGCTGAACTGTCAACTCACTATCAGAATTATATCCTTCTCGTGGGACTGTGTCAGGCCTCAGGAATGCACTCTAGTTGAGTGTTTGCATGTTAGCTTATGAACTTCAAGATGAGGCAGGGCACCTCTTCATGGCTGGTGCTATGGAGCCCACGCCTGCCTGCGGAAAGGTGTGCTCACACTGGCCCCAGTGGCCCTGGGAAGTGCTGTTCCTCCATGGGCAGTGCTTGGGCTCCCAGGGTGAGCCAGGCCCCCAGGTCACTAACCAGGTTGAGTCAAGCCCAGGGACCCAGTGCCTGTGGCTGCTGTCGGCCGCCCTTACCATCCCCCAGGCACATCCAGCTGCGGTGTCCACAGGTGACTAGGGCAGCTGAAGCCTGTGTCTCCAGAAAGGGCTCATAAAACAGGGGGGCCTCCTGCAATTCCTGCGTGGGCGCCTGAGGCGGGGGGCGGGGGGTAGCAGGCTGAGTGCCTCCCCACTAACTCCTCTTTCAGATGTATGATAGGCTAAGTGTGCTTTCCACTCCCCCTGCCAATGATGGCACCCCTCAGGGGATGCTGTGGGGGTAAGTCCTGTCCATTGTCGGCTCTTTCCTTGGGGCCTCTTGCAGCCTTTGATTTAATGCATGATTTTTAAAATTTCTGTCACTGAATTTCACGCTAAACTTTTATAAGACTCTCACAGGGGTCTGTAATCCAGACAACGTTAAGAGCGACCGGTTGAGGGTCTGTTTCCAGTCCTTCCTCTCATGCTTGCTTTCCCCATATGCATGTGGTCTCCCTGCCCTTTGCTGAGCACGTCCGGTCCTGCCACCTCGAGATGTTTCATGGTTAGGAAGGAGCACAGTTTACCTGTTACTTGCAGGTGACCCTAACAGGTTATTGTAACCTCTGGCCGCGGGCTTGCCCCGTGGCATCCTGAGGTCTGGGTTATGGAGCTCCGAGGTCCACACTGCTGGTCAGCAGTAGAAAGGACTAGAGCTGCTGGTTAGAAGGAGCAGCCCGGCTGAAAGCCCAGGCGCCGACGGGCGTGTCCAAAAATGGAGCATTCCAGGACTGCTACTTCCCTTGACCAGGGCCACCAGCCGAGTTCTTGTCTTTCTATGGCTTGCTGAACTTTTACCTGTACACGCTGGCCTTTGTGTACTCGCCATCGAAGAACGCTCTGTACGGTAAGCCGCCCTGGGCTCCGGGTTGCTGGCCAGACGCTTCTGTGGAAGTTCAGGATGCACCCCCAGGTTCCCCATTAGGGTGGGTGCCGCAGCCCATAGCACCGTCTCTCTGCAGAGGGAGACACAGGCAGCTTTAAGTGGTGAGCTCAGAGTTTTAGTTAGGACCCAGCCTGCATTATGTAATTAAGCCCAAGATGGAAACCAGTTGCGTTTGTGGGTCCTGGCACAAGCATTACGACCATCAGCCATGTGAAATCAATCTGTTGCATACTGGTACCATGGCCCCTGAAAAGAAAGCCAGAATGCACAGTCCTCCTCCAAAACAGGCCTGTCGCACAGGGCATGAACAGGAGGACAACCTCCTGGGACCTGGGCAGGGGTGTAGCATGTCGCCACCCCGACATCTATGCTGCGTGAGTTCTCAGAGCAGCTTCATGAAGCATCTTATTTGAGCTTCACAGCAGCTTTACGACAAAGGTGCAGCTACTCCCATTTACAGCGAAGACGCTTAGACCAGGTGGCGTGCGACAGGCCCAAGGATGGGAGGCAGCAGGGCGGGGGACCAGCTCCTGCTCCGTGTGCGCTGAGGAGGAGTACCCGGGAGGCGGCTCCGTCCTGGGCTCCCCCGGCTGCTCCCACGCAGTCTTCGCGGCCGCCGGCCGAGCAGTGATGCTGCGCTGGCGGGTAGAGGCGTGAACGTCCGCAGGAGACAGGATGATTGGTTCAGCTCCCACAGACACTAACTCTAGTGGAAGCTGGGATTGGAACCCGCCCTTGCCGACTTGCAGCCTCATTGTAGGACAGCATCTGGCCTCTCCAGGCCGATCATGTAACAAATGCCTTGGCTGGTTTTCAGAGTCCCAGCTGAAAGATAACCCAGCGTTCTCCATGCTGAACGACTCCGACGATGACGTCATCTACGGGTAAGCCCCGCCTCTGGCAGGCCGGCCCACGGGGAGCAGCTGCCTAGTTTTGCATGTTTACTGAGCAGGTTGTTAATCATGCTAACATTATTTTCAAGGTATTTTAACATTTCTTGACCTGGGAGTGTCGTGATTCCATGGTTCTCTGTTCCTACATTATTTAGGCTTACATTGAGTGGTATTCTTTTTTGTTGACCACCTCTAGGGAATGGTGGCCACAGGGAGGACAGTTCTTCCTGGATGATGGGTCCTGGGGATGGGTGGGGGGACAGCGGGCACTGTCTGTTGGTAACAGAAATTGAGAGAGCGAAGCTATGAAATGAGTTCTTGTTAGAATGCCGTATTAGTGTGGAAGAGAAACATAAAGAGCTGTCAGAAGCAGACTGGCATCAAAGACTGTCTCTTTTATAACAGGAGTGACTATGAAGAAATGCCCCTGCAGAACGGCCAAGCCATTCGGGCCCAGTACAAGGAGGGGTCTGAGAGTGACTGAGCTGGCGGTCCAGTTGGCGGGCTTGGTGGTCGCCAAGATGGCCGGGAGCCTGCCCTCCTGCAGTGACCATCCTGGATGCAGACTAGTCTTAAAAGCAGACATTTCCTGGTCTTTATTTGTTTACATATTTTTTACAGGAAAACCAAAACTGAGGACAAATTTAAATGTTGGGCCAAATTTATTGTTAGAGTGGCTGCATTTGGGAAGAGAGACGCTGATAAAAAAAAAAAAAACAGCCAAATCCGTTTTCAAAGATTCCAGATGAGAGCTTGTTTTCAGTGGTGAGGAGGAAATTACTCCTGTTTGTAGTAGAGAATTCTGTCCTTATTTCAAAAATAATTTACAAATTCCAAGTTTGTGGAAAGCCCTCTTGAATAAGGTCCGCAGCATGGCAACATTCCTCTTCCTCCTCTGTCCCGTGCCCCGTGGTACCATCGTAACTCTGAACTCCGAGGGAAGCCTGCTTCTGTGGCTGCCTCCCGAGGGCTGTCCCACCCCACTGAGTGGCCTGCGCTCTGGATAACCAAGCACCTCCAGTGACTGGTAACCCATTCTTGTGTGAAATGCGGAAGTAATGGCCCAGTAGGGAAACGGTGGGTGACAGGTTCTAGGCCTTCACCACCAAAGCAGAACTAGTGTGTGGAGTTCTGAGGAAGGTTTGATAGGTTGCCAAGGAAAGCATAAGATGATTGACAAGTTGCCAGCTGCAGTGGGAAATGTTTTGCTGCCACACAGGTTTCCAAGGATGTGTGAGCGTCACATACATGGCTACGAATGGATGGCCCTGTGGTTGGGGTGGGCAAGAGGGTGTCCATCAAATTCCAATGAGCAGGAATTTCCACATCAATGGTAAAGACGACACCCTGTTGTTTTGTTTTGGTTTTTTTTTTAATGAAAGCTAAACAATTGATAGACTATTATAGATTCTTTATTGCTGAAAAGTTTTTCAGTTTCTCATTTGGAAATTAGGTAAAAGAAAGTAAAACATTCTAGATGGTTTATGGAAGAATGTCTTTGGGCAGAAGGTAACTTGTTGGGAATGTCTCCCACGGTGGTCAGGTGAGCAGATGAACGGCTCTGTGGAAAAGGGAAGTCTGGCACTGCTGAATGTGTGGCATCGTGTCAGAAGGCCCTGGAGACGTTCCAGTTCCCTTTGTCGCTGAGGAGTCGGGTATGGATACCGCCTTTGCTTTTCCTGACATGCTCAGTGTCTTGTGAACTGTTCACATAGGATCATTGCAGACGTCCTGATTGCTGCCCTCTTGGGATTGTTCTGCTCTACAAACACTACCTACGTTGTCTTCATCTATGCATTACCTCTCAAATTACTTCATAGCTAAAAATTATACTCTGCTTTAGGTAGTGCTAGGACCTTACAGAGGTTCGTGCGACACTATTCGTTAGGACTTCATACCTTTCTTAATTTAAACTTTAATAACATATCTTTAAGAGAGACTCCATTTGTTTTTAAAACCCTGTAAATATGAATGTTTGAATTAAAACAACTGTATTATTGCAAGGGTAATTCAAGTTTACATGGTTTTTACATTTGTAATGATGTGATTACTTTTTTTGATTCTGTGTACTTGAGGTATTGAAAAAAATTGTTACTAAATTTTACAACTTCTATTAAGACTATAATTTTATGTAAATTGACAAAAACTTACTTGTGTGATTAATATATTCTAGTGATAGTTTGTTTTAACCATTATAAAGTAATTGTCCATAATTTGGAATGCTGTTATTTATCAGTAAATGTAAAATATTCAAGGCATTTAGCCATATACCTTAGAACTTTTTAAAAACTTGTCTTTGTCCTATAGTGAATTATAAGCTGATGATTGATACCTTCATCTATTGATTCATCATGGCATCAAGTCAAGGAAATGAAAAATATGGGAGTATTTATTTACTTTTTGTAACTCAATTGGAAACAAGACAATAATTAACAAAAGTACTTATGGGGAAAATGGTTGTGAAATCATGCATTTTCAATTTCTCTTCCTGGTATATCATATGTATCAACATATTACGTACTCCATATAAAATTTTGCTGCAAGTATATTTTGCATGTATTATATGTGCCCTAGGTGTTAGGTTAAAATACTAAAGTCTGCCAGAAACTTCAAACAGTAGCAAGAAAATTTTTATTTCTTAGAGAGCATCAAAGTTTTGCAAACTTAAATTACGAATTCAAAGGGCTGACTTTAGTTCTTCCAAGGTAACGGCTTGAATAACACCATTTTTGGGATAACCTTTATGCTGGTGCAGTCTCGGGGAACCTGAACAGTGACCGCAGGCACTTGAGTTTCCCCAGGGAGAACTCGTTATCCGTGTGGGTAACAGGTCCGCTTGATTTATTATTAAATCATTACTGCAGGGAAGTGACGAGGTTTTCTCTCTCTGAAGCCCCATTTGAAAGGCTAGAGAAGGGATTATATAAAATATTTGTTTGTAAGATTGTTCCTGTACTAATTACAGATTGCAATAAATTTAAATACATTATGTAAATCCAACCCACTAAATTGGCAGATTACAAGACAAATGTCACCAGCCCTGAACTACTTACTGAAGGTAGTTAAATAGATTATGATGTGGTCAGTAACTTACTTCCTGGAATCCTTTTTCACAGGGAAAAACGCAGAATCTCATAGAAGGAATGATTAAGGAACACCCAGTGAAGACCAGACTTAAAACACTGAAGTGTATTTATGTACTTTGAGGGTTTTAGAAACCAGTTGCCTTAGAGGTTAGACTTTTGAAAAAAGAAAATCTTTTCCCCAGGCCAAAGGGAAGTTGCTTTAGTCTATGAGTTATCCTGTTTCTCTTGATTTCACATATTTTTAGATATACTGATAACTATAGTACCATATTATGAACAGAGGATTTTCTGCTACTGAAAACTGCCTTTTTACAAAAAGACTGTAAATATTTGAATAAAACAACTCAAAAGGAAATATGCAGCAGCTGTGTATTAGGTCGTGGAGCTGTGCCAGTGAGCACAGCAGCACCCATCACTGAGTGAGCACTGTAATCAATCAAAAGTGAATAAATATTTATGGCAAAATTTACACTTTGGGAGTGGCTTCATTCTGAGACCACCTCTTTGGTAAATGTTAATAAATTTTTAATATTCGATCCTTACTTACGAGTTATTGATTTGTTTGCTCTTTGCATGTGGAGTTAATTTGACCATTTAGACAAGAGCTTTAGGGACAAGAACAGGGCTTTTTTTCATTCCAGCAGGCGGACATGGATGTATGTCATTATCAGGTTAACTGGCCCCTGGATAAGCATGAAAGTGAAGCTGAGGTAGGTCACAAGACCAGGGTTTGGGGTCCACCTCCCCACTTAGATTGATGTGACTTCAAATCAGATAACCTCCAAACACATTTCCTGATTTATAAATAATGATGCAATTGTTATAGACACAAACCGAATGATTATAAAAGCATCTTGCAATCGCTAAAGTACTAAAACTTTTGTTGTGTGTGATTGCTACTGAAAAAGAGAGAACATGAAGGGAGAAGTTGTAATGTTGCCGACTTGGGCCAAGTGTGTGAGTTCGAGCTCTCTGGCTAAAGGAACAGAAACCAGCTTGCCCACTTCCCACACCTTAGGCTCCAGAAGAGGGCAACTTGAGAAAGAAGGGTGTGATGCCCAGGGTAGATGGAAATCTAACCAGAACACAGCAGAGCTGTCAGGACCCTGGTCCCTTGGGTGATGTTAGCGAATCACTGTATTGGAGAGGACCGAAGCCGAATTGCAAGTTTCTCTTTCTTTTGTACAGTATAACAGATTCTGGAGCCACTAACTTAAATAGGAAGAATGCATTTGTGATACACAAACTTTAAACCGGAATAATTTATTATCCTAACAAAAGTACAAAGTATGGAAAATTAGTGTACTTGAATCGTTTCAGAGAGTAGAGAAAGTACCACGCTAGCAGATTTCTGTTTTTAGCACCTTTGAACAGAAATAATCAGAGTGAAGACAAGCGGCAGCCAGGCCTCTGACCGACCACCTATGGTGAGAGAGTCCTCTTGACTTAGGGTGTGCAGCGCGTAGAACAGTGCAGTCACCTAGGTTTTCCTCTACATTTTGAGAGTGCACCAAAGAACGCTTAAAGGAATGACAAAGGTGTTCACTGAATTCATGGCTAGTGGTTAGATGGAAGAGAGTTGCTGAGACAAAGTAGCTGGCGGGTGGACGCGGAGCTCAGATGGACAGTCCGAAGGCGCTGACGATGCAGTACATGGTCTTGTTCTCCCATCGCACGGTGCAGCTCCCTGCGGGAGGCGAGGCAGAGGGCGCGAAGTGAGGGAACCGGGGCAAGACATACTGATTCCTCACAGGGAGGCCAAAACACTCAGGTACTTACGTCTTCTGGTACATAAAGAAGGCTGGCAGGTCTCTTCTATTAAATGTTTTAAAAGGTGACTAATAAACATGCATTCAAAGACATGAAACATCCAAGCACACAGTTCATAAAACAGTGCTTTGGATAATCTAGATCTCAGTATGGTCCCAGGAGGCACTGCACGACCTTCAGGAAAATGCCCGTGACAGACTTTCACCAAATGAATGAAAACCATACCGTCAGTAGAGCTGTCCCAGAAGCAAGAACTCGCCGTATGTAATCCTGCTCCATTCTTCTGCATAATTACACAGGTCACTTCAATTAAAACAAACTTTTATTAGAGAAATTATTTGGAAATACAAATCCTTTTCCCCACTTTTAGCACAGGTTTCTCAATCACGTGGTTGACAGCAGTCGCCTGCTTGGTCCTACAGCAGTGACGAGTCAACAGGCCCCTTTCCCTCCCACACACAAGTCCTAAAGGCATCTGATCTGAAATGCTGTGAAATCCTATGGCATGTCCTGCAATTGTCCTGGCAGCCACACAGGCCAGTTTATGACATTATGACCTAAAACGAGATAACGTGCACAACACGTGACACACGCTTACAGGGGACTTGGGGCTGGGCACTGCACTGGAGCACTTGCTCTCTCCCGACACCAGACCTGCCTCTGCTCAGCATTTAAAGAACCCGCACCAGTGTACATGAGAAGCAAAACCCCCTTACCAATGTATTTAAATGGTTTCCCCAGCTTGGTGAGTTGGCTTAACGTTTGCTCCACTACGTTTGTGGTCCACTGATTCACTTTGCTGTGCTGGTAGGCGTTGCCACCAATTGAACCTTCTATGGCCTAGAAGACAAAGCAGAGGGTCCTGGTCAGCAGAATACACTGACCACCTCCACTCACCTACTCGGTACTGAAGTCCATCACCCTAAGAACTGCTGGAACACAGGATGCATAAAATGGAAGCTTGGATCCACGAGGACTCCTTTTGTTTGATAGTGTCATAGTTAAATGAATTTTATATTTGTTTTTAAGATTCCATGATTATATACGGTCTATCAATTTTTAAACTTTTTGACTGAATTTAACAGCACTGTTGTATTAGTACCTGGAAATAAGCAACATTTTTCCCATGACACTAGAAATTATTTTCCTTTGCCTATTTCTTTTTTTTTTTTAAAGATTTTTATTGGGGAATTGGGGGAATGGGAACAGCGCTGGGGAATTGGGGAAGGGGAACAGACAAGTTGCCGTCCCTTTGTTCTTCAGTCTAGTTGTGGAGGACGTTGCTTCACTGGCCCAAGTTGGCACCATCATTGTGCTCTTCCTGGGCGAGGCAGATCAATCGCCGACTTCTGGACGACTGGTTGTAGATTTTTTTTACTTGTATTTCCTGCTTTTTCCGCGCTTGTTTTTTTGGGGGGCGCTCATACAACCACTGTATAAGACGCACCCAGTTTTTAGACCCCAAATTTTTCGGAAAAGGGTGCGTCTTATACATGGGGAAATACGGTCCTTTGGGACTCCCTATTTTTCAGGGAGGGAGGAAAACATAATTTTGGACTCACCCAAATTTACTACTACCCAATACTTAAAATAGCTTGAGTACACAGTCAACCAATCACCAAGGACAAAAAAGCTATGGAGGTGGATGATCTTGTGAAAGTAGCCTGCAATGTTACTTCCTGTTTCCAGGGAGACTGGGAAAGTCTACCTTCAACTGTACTTGCGGCCTGGTAGCCAAGTCAAGGCTGGGCCTGCCGAGTAGCTCAGTTGGTTAAGAGCTCGCTCAAGAGTTCGAGCTCTGAGCAACAGGGTTGCCAGTTCAATTCCCAGCCCGAGCTGAGCTGCCACTGAGCTGCCAACAGGTGCAGGATGGCTCAAAAAAAAATGGGCCAAGTCAAGGCTAAAGGATACTTTGTAACCAACTCTACTTCCCACACTTCTAGTATAATTCACCCACCTTCCTGCTCTCCCCACCCCTTCCATAAGAAACACTGTATTTAGAAAAAGATGAAAGGCAAACTGCTACAGATCCTGCAAAGCAACTAAAAAATCAGCCTGATGTTGAATAATGCATATGGTAGAAAAACATTTTGCTTTCTATCACGTTCACAAAAATAGATTGTGGTTCTTTATCACTCTGTCAGTAGTCAATTTATATTAATAATTTGTATTAGAGTCAATTCCAAATCTCACACATAACCTCACGTGGTGCTGTTAAACTTAGATCACTAATGACTTTTTTTACCAATGGCTTCACTATCTGCTCAGTTAACACAAGGAAGGGAAGCTGACCGGAAAAGCCTTTCCAGCCTCATGCCTGCTGCTGGCTGCACTCCTCTGGCCACCCCCACCCGTTCCTTTCAGCCCCTCAGACCCACTACACACACCCTGCCACAGGGCGTCTGCACATGTCCCCTGCCTGGAACGAGTGGGCCCCTCCTCTGAGTTAATGCTGCTCCTACTCTCCAGATTCCAGCTCTGAACTCACTGGGCTGGTCACCTCCCTCGAAGCACCACCTACCTGGCAGTGCTAATTTACATTCCGCCAGCGTGACTATTTGATAAATGTCTGCCTTCCCTGCCCCATACTGTAAATTCCTTAAGGGTCAGTCCCCTGCATGCCCCCTCGACCTGTATTTTTTGAATGAATGAAGAACAAATAACCATTTTTGTCTCCCATTCTCATCATCTAAGGGAAATACTGTGGTCAATAATGATAAAGTGGGTAGTTTAGGAAAGTAAGAAAAATAAAAAAGCCCCAACTAGATCACCAGGTCTTGTAAGCTGTTTAATTTTTAATATTCACCATTTCCTCATTAAACATTGGAAACATTTACTTGTAACCATGAATCTTTTATGCTAACAGGTTATAGAATCAAGCCTTAGTAACGTTCAATAATAATGTTGCTATATAAAATTTCCTGTCTGATTCAAAATATATTATATACATAATATGGGAGTAACTCTTATCTAGATATTCATTGAAGTAAAAACTGTTAATTTGAAATGCCAAAACACATAGGCACAGCTGAAACAATTCCAAGACAGGATTTAAAATACGTTATTTTCAGTCATATAAGCCATTAATCAAACATTTAAAAAGTAGGTATTTCTCCTCTTACCTCTTTCACAATGTTGCTCACTTCATCAACAACAAAAGCAGTCTGTAAGAGAGAAAATGAGTTAAGTTTGACTTAATAGATTTGTATCCACTGCAGCCTTGATTAATGCAAATTTAGGTAATGAACATACTTTAGAAATGAAGATCTCAGAAATAATCTAACCAGACTGTTCATTTCACTGCGGAAAACATTACAGAGACTCAGAAGCAATAAATGGCTCTCTGAGGATCAGAGAGGGAGTGGCAGTCAGACTAGAATACTTGTACTTATAATTGAAAAGTTTTTGTTTTTAATCCTGCCTTGATCTTAAAGACTAACTTCACTTTAAACTAGAATTTAACCTCCATCCATTTCAACTGGTCACTGGGATCATTAACAAATATAGAATTTTAATCAGTTACTTGACTTTTGTATAAATTAACTGACACTTTCCCTGATGTAAACTGATTAAGAGCCTTGAAACTTAAGATGTGGGTTTTCTTCCTCACTGCCGTCCTACTTTGGGACTACACAACCAGCTGCTAGCACAGCCGTTCTCCGCCAGTGTGTCAGGATAAGGTGCAAGGTGGGCTGCCAGTGGTAATCTAGTGCCAGGAGTTTATAAATGGTTTTTTCTTTTTACATGTGGTCCATTGGAATGGGTACAAGGTTTTGTCTGAGTCCTGGGAACAGTACTTAGCTCTGGACATGCCCTCAGGCCTGTGTGCGTGCTGGGGGAATAAAGGGAGAAAGCCCTGCTCTTGGCAATGAGTTTTCCTCCCTGCCAGGCTGCTGACCACTGTGGCCCTGTTCTAGCCATGCACCTTTCTTCCCAGGAGCATCAAGAGCTCACTGCCTGAAGCCCTCTCACTTGCTGTACTCAGAAGTCATACTTGGAGACAAAGCCAACTCACCAAGTTAATGAAAGTTTGCAGTATGTTAAAGATTAAAGCATTTCTCGAAGTTTAAAGGATCCTTCCAAGGGACTTCAATGATCCTAAACCATACATGGAAGTCCCCGAGTAACTTTCTCTGTGTTTAAAATATGAAAAAGCTTGACTTGAACTTTTAGTGGTAAGGAGCAGTTGTACAGAATCCACTGGGCAGTTTCAACTTCCACAGGAAAGATGAACAATGGGTTGAGAGTAGAGTTACGAAGGTCCAGGTATCTACATGAAGTTACAGGATATGCAGAAAAGGCTTAGTTCGGAGGCTGTTAGGAGGACTGGCGTGGATTAGTGAATAAGTCATGCCTACTAGAAATTAGAGTCATGGCCTCATCCTCGCAGGGCTTTATCTTGTATAAACTACAGATCACTCATTCAGCCCCTTCATTTCACAGATGTGCATGTGAGATCTGGAATAATGAAGTCACTTAGCCAACTCATGGTGAGAACCAGAACTAGAATAGAGTATTAGAATGCTAGTTTTAAGGGCTTTCTCTTACACTTACACTGCCATTCCCCTTTTTACAATTTTATTCAATATTCCTACAATACAAGCCATTTTCCAATTATTGTCAGTTAATCGTTTACAAGGGAAAATTTTTCCTTTGCTCTTCTCATACTTATTCACTAGGTTGCTACCAGCATTCAAACACTGATGACTGACATTGCCATAGAAAAGTTCGTGCCAGTTAAGAAATCAGATCAAAACTAAAACTTTAGGATCACTCCTTAAGCCTTAGATTTTTCCCCCTTGAAGCATAACTGCTTAAACTAAATTTCAAAAATGGGAATATCAAACCTTAACAAATTTATCTTTTTATTTTTGACAGACTGCATAATACATGGGACTCCATTTATTCGCACCCCAACAAGAATTATTTAGCAAGAAGAAAAATGGCAACTGTTCTTCTCTGACAGCAGCACCCGTCAGGCGCTGTTTCCTGGATGCTGCTTAGCCTGAAGGAAAGCCATCTTACCAGCACACCACTGCAACGCATGTCTTCTATTCGGCAAATGATAGGCTTTCCCCTGCTTCTTCATTGAGGCAATAAAGAGATGACCCCCCCACACCCACTCCCACCCACAAATAGGCGCTATCTTACTGACATCTCAAACTGAAATGAAATACAAGTGCGGGCTGTCGCAGCGGGAAGCGCAAGGCGCCGAAGAACAGGTGTGGGGCGGGAGACAAAGGCGGGTTCTGTTGTGCACTCATGCGTTCTGCAGACAGCCAGGGCATTACATCTGGGTCTGAAGGGACGTGCGAGAGGCGACCGTCCGTGCGTGCCACGAGTGCGTGTTACTGGACTCTTGCGTTAAAATACTGGATCAATTAGATGCACAAGCGGTCTTCAGTCTTCCCCACCCCCGGATGTGCAGCGCCTTCTTCAGGGTGGGGGTCCGCACCGCTGAATACACGGCGCCAGTGACATCACTCCCAGCGCCCCGCCGGCGTGGGCCGGGGGCGTGGAGCAAGGCCGCGCGGTGCGGTGGGGCCAGCGCGGAGCGGGCCGAGGACGAAGTCGGCGCGAGGCGGACCTGGGGCACGGCGGGGCCGGGGGTGCGGTGGGGGGCCGGAAGTGTGGGGCTGGCTGGGAGCGCAGGGGCGCCGGGGGTTTGCAGCGCCCCTGGAACCAGGCCGGCGCGGAGCGGGGTCCAGGGCGCAGCGGGGGTGCTCCGGGCCCGGCCGCAGGACCCGGGGCGCGCGCCGCCGCGCGGGGAGCCTCCTTCCCGCCCCGCCCCTCGGGCAGGGCGACGACGCCCGGAGCAGGCCGGGCCCGGGGTCACGGCGAAGCCCTCGGCAGGGCGCCGGCGCCGTCAGCCAGCGCAGGAGAGGGCTGCCGCCCACGTCCAGACGCAGCCCAGGTGCCCACACACGCCCCTGGCTGCGGACTCCCGCCCAAGCCCCGGGCACCCGGCCGCCACCCTGCCCGTCGCCGTCCCGGCAGTTACCTCTTCCGCAGACTGAAAGTCTTCCATCTTTCCGCCTGCGCGTCGCCTCCGCCTCCCTGAGTAGCGCGCACTGCGCCGGCGCTGGTAGGGCCCGCCCCTAGTGCTCGCGCCCCGCCCGGCCCCGCCCTCTCCCAGGGCCCCGCCCACTCCTGCTCTAGAGCCCCGCCCTTCCCCTGGTACCTCGGTGCCCCAGGCCCGCCCCTTGGGGACTCGGGATTATCCCTCCTACCTTCCTCCCGGAGGTGGTGGTTTCCGTGGGAACCCGCCTGAGTAGCCTGGCAACTGACTAGACCGCAGCAACTAAAACAAAACAAATGTATAAAGCCAGTCCGGGAAGGCAGAGTCGTCCCGCCCCTCTCCTCCAGTCTGTACTGTACTGTGTGGATGAAGTTGAACTTTCAGGCAGGCTTGGACACCTAGTAACAGATTGTAATGTGACTTCTAAACATGGTGGAGAGCGTGAGATATTGGTTACAGTCCCCTTGGAGATCCAGGAGTAGGAAACGAGCTGTGATGGAAACTTTCCTTTGGTGAGGCAAGTTTTCCATATAAATGAGATTTTTTTTTTTAATCTTAAGCACCATTTTAAAAAACATTTCAGGTGGAAAATTTTGTTAAACGCTGCACACTGCCTGGTTCCCCTAACCAGAATGACCTAGACATACACCTGACTTGTGTACAGGGGCCTTTATGGAAATTAGTAATGACACTGGGCTCTGGGTACGTGCTTTCCAAGCAAAGCCAGGCTGTATGCACCTGCTTCACGTGCTCTGAGGGAAAGAGCTTAGACTTTGGGGACTGCTTTTTCTGGTTTTACCATGCTCTTGAAGTCAAGTTGTCACTTCTTACCTCTCCAAAGCCCAGTTGCCAAAACCCACTTTCCATGCCCCCAGGAAGAGTTGACCGCAAGCCCCTGAGACTGGGTAGAATTAAGCTTCAGAGCCCATATTCAATCCACCAGCAACCCTTGTTTCTATCCTATAGAATCTAAGGTTCCATGCGGACAGAAATCTGTTGTATTCACTGATGTATCCCTGCCCCGTCAATTGTGCCTGGCACATAATAGGTGCACAATGAACATTCATTGAATGAAGGCGTGCTTTCCCCACATGTGTTAGTTCTGCCTCATACCCAACTGCAGAGAACTGGGGTGTGGGGGAAGATACAATCGCCTGCCTTTTTGTGGGCGACACGGCTGGTGAGAAGAGGGCAGAGCTGTGAAAGAGACACAGGGCCCCAGGCCCGATCACGGAGGCCGGCTGGGTGGGGACTGGGTGTTCTCCCACACCTGGTTTCTGCTTCTCGGATTCCGAACTTTATTCACTTTTTGAGTTTTGTTCTCTTCCTATTATCTGGCTTCAACCCACCTGTTCCAGTGTTTCAGTCTTATGCCTCAGTCTCCATGTGATTCTCATGCTGACATTTCTTCATTTTGTCTTCCCGACATTCCCAGCGTCCCCTGAGATTCCATTTCTGGGGTCCTTCTCAGTCACTTGACTTCCCTGCCTCGTTCTGGGCCCACAGCGGCACCGCCATCCTGAGCCAAATGGGGACTTTTTCTCTCTCTTCCCTTTTTCTCCTCTACTGGGGACCTGAAGGCCCACTAGCTAATGTCAGAATTATGTGCAACGCAAGCATGAACAGGCTCCGAGTGAACATTTGCAATTGCAGACTGAGAGGTTTGGGACCTCTTTTTAAAAGGCTTTTTAAAAAGCTCCACAGCCTTTTAGGAACTTCCTAATCCAAATGAGTGTCCTGAGTGGCTGCGGGGACTGTGCACTAGTCAATACAGACACCTGGTGATACTGTAACTGAAAATCACCGGCATGTGTGTAAATCAACAGAAAGCATGTAAATGTGAATTTCAAAATTTTTACATGACTTTAGCTTGTAGGCATTGGGTCCCGCTCGCCAATTTTAACTATCAAAGAACATTCATTAAATGACATTGTACATGACATGTTTTTCTGCCCCAGAAGCGGATAAATTGGTCTGTTGACCTTCAGAGCTATTTGCCCGCTTACTCGTCACACATGTGCTGAGCACTCACTTGGTGTCAGCCTCTGAGCTGGAGTTGAGGCTTCACAGTTGACAAAATTACGGTCCCTGTGGAAAATTTTTAAAAACTACTTTTCTGGAAAGAGGAGGATTTGAATTCTCTAGGCTCAGTGATATTGTAGTGCTTGGAAAAAAAGCAGTGATATGCATTATGGTCTGCCCGATGGATATACACTCCGCAGGGCTGAGGAATTTCAAATCACCAACATTGGCCGTTAACGAGCTGCCATTCCCAGCACCCGGGATCGGCCAAGACGAATGTCCATCAGAAGCGCCTGAGTGGAAACGCCTGACTCATAGCTGCTCATAAATCTCTGGTCTTCAGCCATATTTTAGAATAGTGTTCATTGCTGCACTGTAAGTCAGTGGAGTGAATCTTTGATCTGTTTTTCAGTTTGGGGGTTAGCCTTGGGTTGGCAGATATTGCGTGCTTTCTACCTTCGAGTCAAGGCTCTTAAATACAAACCCTTTAGAAATAGGAATTGGCATTGCCAATGTCTTTATTTAGCAAGTGTGGGCCCAATAAATCCTGTCCGTGTCACCTCAACAAATAAATCAATGGCCAGCTGGGTCCCCCAGAGCTGTCTGTCACATGCAGCCCTTCCCCATCCAAATCCAACGCTGTGGATGTTCGTGTTTTCCTTTCTTTTCCTGTGCCTGGGAGTGTGTTACCAAGATGTGCCGTGGAGTCATGCTAAGTCAATAATAATAATAATAATAATAATAATAATAATAATAATAATACAATGAACCTGGCAATACCAAACACTCTAGTGTGAGGAATTTAATGTTGCAAGGAAAAGAAAATAAACCTGTGGCTAACTCATATCTAAAGTGAGGATTTTAGGCTGAGAAATTACATGCTAACAAGATTAGCTGGGAAATGCCTCTACTTAGGTCCGCTGTCAGCTGGGAAGCACCAGCTCAGTGGGACCGAAATACCTCTGTACCGACTGGAAATGGCTGTTACTCCGAGGCCCTTGGTTTCCCCTTCTCCCCAATTCTGGCTATCCCCACCCCTTCCTAGGGCCCCATCCCCAGAAGCCAACAACTAAAGGATAACTTGTGGCACAGCAAGAGCCTCCAGCTGGCATTTCTTCTGACCGGTTGATTTTCATGTTGTCATTGCTATTAAACAGCTGATCAGTTCTGTGTAGCTGAACAAACCACACACTACGTCAGTCAGCACAGGCTTAGCTAGCTACAGAAAACGGCGACCCTAGACTCTTGGTGGTTGACGACAACAAAGATATATCTGTCACTCACGCTACATGACCATGGAGGGGCTGCTGTGGCTCTGCCCCGTGTCTTCTCCTTGCTGGAATCAGGCTGATGGAGCAGCGTGACTCCAGAGTCATCAAGGAAGAGGGAGTGGCTAGGAAGGTGCTGCTCATAAGTGGCAGGTGTCACCTCTGCATACATACTGTTGTCCAGAGCATGTCTCTTGTCCACGCCTGAGTTTACAGGGCCGGGACACATAGGGGAGGAGAGGGTTACAACCTGCCACACACACCATCCTGAAGGGTCCCATCGGTGATTTGTCATCTTCATACTCTCTCTGCCCGACTCCTGCCCATGCATCCCCCACTTCCACTGCTACTCTAGTCGAATCTCCAGGCCAGCCCTGTGAGAGCTCACTTTACTTTCAGATGTGATCGAATGCATTCCTGTGCAATTTCAACACCCAGGCACATTCTTTCATTGCCAGCTCTTCCCTGCTGCCCACTGTGGCCGAGGCCTGAGATCAGCGGTCTCCAAACTTCTTTCATTATGCCCCTCTAGCAGGGACCAGTTTTTGAGCATGTATCCCAAAGGCATGTTTATTGCAACTATGATATATTAAACTGTGAATCCACTTATTAAACATTAAAGAATTTAAGTTTTCACCTTTTAAAGAATAAATAGAAATAGAAGTTCTAAATTTTCTTAGTATAGCTTACTGTTATGGGCTAAATTATATCCCTCCCAAAATTCATATGTTGAAGTCCAAACTGCCAGTGCTTCAGAATATGACATTCTGTATTTGGAGATAGGGCCTTTAAAGAGGGGTTCAGTTAAAATGAAGCCGTTAGGGTGGGTCCTGATCCAATAGGACTGTGTCCTGATAAGAAAAGGAGATTAGGACACAGATACACATAGAGAGATGATCATTTGAAGACATGTAAGACAGCCCTCCACAGGCCAAGGAGAGAGGCCTCCAGAAGAAACCAACCCTGCCAACACTTTGATCTTGAACTTTGGGACCTCAGAACTGCGAGAAAATTAATTTCTGTTGTTTAGTCCTCCAGTGTATGGCATTTGTTACAGCAGGCCCAGCAAAGTAATATACCTACTTTGGAAATAATTATTCCAGGTTACCCTCATTTCTAAAACATTTCCCCAAACATTCCTAAATGGATTCACTCCGTATCTTATGCCACAAAATAGAAATACTAGTACTAAATGAATAGTACTCACTGTTTTTTAAGAATCCTCTTAGACCAGGTGTTCTCAACCATGATCACTATGGAAGTGCCTGACATAGCAGATGCACAAGAAGCACTTGTGAATGAATTGAATGAACTATAATATATATGCTGAGAGGGCAGCCTGGTGACCCTCACCAGGAAACAGGCTCAGGGACACCAAGTGGTTTGCTCAAGGTCACCCAGATCTGTCTCACCCGGAGCTTGCTATCTTACTTCACGCTTCCCTTTTATTGTTCTAACCCTTCACAGACCATAATCGCCTCCTGCCCACCCCTGCTCCTCACCAGATGAAATTCGCCAATCAAGTTATCAACCTCAGGCCACGGAAGAGTGAGATTTCAGAACTGAAGAGGCAAGGGATGATCAAAGTGAATGTCATTTACAGATGAGGAAGCCAAGGCCCACGAGTCTTCAGAGCGATCTAGTGACTCCCAAGGCCACACAGCAAACCTTATTGTTGGTCACCAGCTGACTTGCCTGAATCATATTCTCTCAATCAGAGTTCACACTAGTTCAGCCTCAAGAGTGAGTCCAAGACCCTCAAAAGAACCCATTAAGGGAATGAAGAAACAAGTTCACAGAGTGGGAGAAAAATATCTGCTGTGTAAATGTCAGACAAAATAATATATAAAGAAATTCTACAAATCAATAATAGAAAGGCAGATAACCCAATGTAAAAACAGGCAGAAGACTTGAATAAGCCCAACACCAAAGATGTCCAATTGACCAATAAACATACAAAATGATGCTCAAATGACCCAGCTACATGAAACATCAGGGAAATGAAAATTAAAACTATAATGTGATGCCACCACAGATCCACTGCAATGGATAAAAAAGAGAGGCAGGTCTATTTGTTGCTGATAGGAGTGGAAGTTAGTACAACCACTTTGGAAAATTCTTGGCAGCATCTCGTAACGTTGAACATACGCCTAACCTCTGATGTGGAAATTCCACTCCTAGGCACGTAACCAACAGAAACACGTACAGTTATTCACCCAAGAGACGATACAAGAATGTTGTAGCAACACCATAATAACCAAAAATTATAAATAACACAAATGCCCGTCAACAGTACAATAGAGACATAAATTTTGTCGATATTCATACAATGAGATATATTAGTACAGTGAGAACTTCCAGGATGCTGTTAAAGTTCAATTTCTTTCTTTTTTTATTTTATTTTATTGGGGAACAGCCATGGTCATTGATTACACATTGCTTAAATGCTACAATGACATAGTTGACTCTTTTAGGGAGGGCACAGCTCACAGTGGCCCATGAGGGGATCGAACTGGCAACCTTGGTGTTGTCAGCACCACGCTCTAACCAACTGAGCTAACCGGTCACACCCTAAAGTTCAATTTCTTGATAGGAGTGTGTTCATTTTGGGGAAATTTATCAAGCTGTGCTTATGATTTGTATCACGTTCTGTATGTATGCTATACTTCAGTGAAATTTACCAGGGTTGGAAAAAGCCCATGCTAGTCTTGTTCTAAATTGATGCTTGAGTTAGCAGCTGTTGTTTGAGAAGCAGTTAGTCATTTACACCCAAGGTTAATGTGAAACCCCTTGCAAGTGTGAGAGCATTTGAATATTTGAAGCCTCTAGTGTCTACTGGGAGTTTTCTTGATAAGGGTGAAGCATTTCTTTCAGTAACATCAGCTTGGTCTTTCCTCCAGCTAAAAATATAAACTGTTGGCGTACACGAGTTCCTGGGTGTGCTTTGTGTGGCTTTGCTCTCAGGGGCCTTGGTGAGGTGGTGGTAGCCACAGAAGCTCTCGGGGCCAGCCCAAGAGTGCACCGCATCAGCCCCGTGCCTGACAGGAAGGAAAGAGAAATACGTCAGTTGTTCTAAACAAAGAAAAATTGACTTCCTTCTCTCCAGAACAGACTCCTCTGGCCTCTCCTCTTGAAGCTGGTTCAAAGGTAGGCTGAGCATCCCCGTATGGCTGTTAGGGCAGGTTGTTTTGGGGGTAGGGTGCGTAGAGATTACAGTTATGGTAACATGATTGATGACATTAAAAGGCAGGAAACAAAAACAATGGTAAATTAGACAAAGGATGACTTGCAATTTTATTGAACAGCACACATTTAAAATTCAGGGTAACAATGGTTTAAATGGAATGGAGGAAGTACTTTAGAGTTGGTTAAAAAAAAAGACAAAAAACTATTCAAAAGCTATACGGTGTGAATTTTTAAGGTGGTGGCATAGAGTGTTCAATGTCTTCTTTGGTTTATAAATTCTCATGTGTATAGTTTATTACTGTTTTGCTCTGAATCTACTTCATAGATTCAATTTGTTTTGATCAGCCATAATCTCCAGTTTGGAGTAGGAACAGAAATATAATTTTAAAATTAAAAAAAATTAAGTTGGCTGGGTCTAATTTAAATTTCTTTCAATTAAGCTTCTTTAACCCCCAAACAGATTTCTTGGCAAGAGGAAAGATTATGAGAGGAAAATGCACATTAGATACTAAAGATCTATTAAGAAGTTGGAATTGGTGTAGAAAAAGATTATTCAGCCAAGGTAGTGGGAGGTACTAACTTCTTCTCTGCCTAAACGAAGCATAAGGCTTTGGAGTTAAAGAGACCCACATTAGAGTGTGGCTTTAGGTAGATGACTTAATCACTCCAAGCCTCACTCTCTTCAGCTGTAAAATAGGTGTTCTTATTCATAATGTTGTAATGAAGATTGTGATAATATATGCAGAGTACTTGTCAAACTGTCTGGTCCAGAGTGAGTGCTAAATAAATAGTAGCTATTGGTGCAACCAAAAGTGTAACAACAATTATGAGTAGTAGCTGTAACAATATATAATATTCTCATTTCTTTAACCTTCCATAAGAAGAAAGAGGTCACGGAGTCGAAGCCATGAAAATCATGGATTTCTATTTCAGCGTTTCACTCTGATTCTAAAACAGCATGTTTTGAGGGTTTTTTGGTGGCAAGATGTCTACCTGAATGGGAAAGAATGAATTGCGATGCTGGTCCCATCTCCTATCTCCCGTAGGCGTCAAGTTTTCTAGCCTTAAGCCCACGTACATGCAACTTCCTACATAACAGACAGAGTTTTGAGGGACCTGAAGCTTAGACAACTTGCGGAGACTTCTTTAAGAAAATGAATACAGACATAGGCACAGGGCCTTGGATGGGGCCCTGCAGGGGAGGGAGGCCAAAGTGTGAGCTTCACTAACTTCCAGAATGTTCACCTCTGATTAAGTAACAGGAGAGAAGGGAACTTATAAACGCCCGTCTCCATTTCGGCGTCAGACTTTGGGATGGCCACACAGGCATGCCGTCACACCTTTGCAAAAAAGAATCTGTTAAGCCTGAGCGTCTGAGCCCAGCTGGGGTTGGGACGACAGAGACAAGTGGCCTTCATTCATCTCCTCCCTGGAGTGGACCAGTGTTCTTTGCAGCTGCGACAGCCTTCCCTAAAGAGAAAAAAAAGGGACAGAATTTTTAGGTCAAGTTTTTCTGAGGTCAGTTGAGCCACTCAACTTTTCCTCTGCATATATGTCCGAGGCAGAATATTTAGGTCAAGTTTTTCTAAGGTCAGCTGAGTCACACATTTCCCCCTGCAAACGAGGCAGAAAGTACGTAGCTGCATCCTGAGACTGTGCATCTTAAGGAAATAGCTGTGGTAAAACCACCACAGCAGCGGGGGAGGCCGACCCCCCAAGTGACCCGCGCTCGGAGCTATTGCAAGGCTGTGGCTTTCGGGCCCTGAGGTGGTTCTGTAGTTTGCCTTGAAAGCCTGGGCCGCGATCGTTTTCACACGCGCACCCTACAGCAGTTTGCCAAATTTCCACCGCGGCTCCATTTCCCGGTCCTCACAGTGAGGTGCTGAGGCTTTCTTTCCTTTGATCTGTGACCAGCTGCTCAGAGATGATAGATAATTGGATGAAAGGCAGAGGGAACCGCCCGCCGCAGATAAGAACGTTGGCTCTCCAGGCCTCCTGTCTCCACGCAGTTTCACATGTCTTGTACGCCCCTTGCCCCTCCCCCACCAGCGCCCCACTCCTCTCAGATCGAAAAGACAAAGTCAAGTGCTATTAAGCTGAGGAAAGCAAGCAAGCTGTCTCAAAATTCTAGCACGTGAATGGGTATTTTGTTCTCCTGGCAAAGTGGTCCCAGGCCTTCCTCCCCTGGGACACCTTCCCTGACCCCCAGCCATTTCGGCTGTCTCCATCACTGAATCAAACCTTTCTCTGCAGGTATTTCTCTGTAGAGCCTCATATTTTTATACTCACCACGCCCATGCCCCCCACACACACACACACAATGTTATAATTTATTTTCTGCCTGGAATGTGAACTTGAGTGCAGAGATTGGGTCTTACTTATTTTGGATCCTCATTACCTCTCATGTACTCGGCAGAGAGAAGACCAGTAAAATTGGGGTGTGGAGCCTAAATACCACAACCACACTGTTTGTCTGGATGCCAGGGTTCCACTGGGTCCAGCATGAGGGTACAGGCGAAATGGAAATATATGGCTTGAAGTACACGCTGGGTTTAGGAGGCCAACCCTCCTGCCCCCATTGCCTGAGTCCCTATCAATCCCGGAGAAATGGCTTGGTTTCTTGCTTTGGCACATTCCTGCAGGGAAGGACAGAGGGGCCGAGAAGAATACCCCCGAGTCTGGCTTGCTTTGTTCTGGCCATTGCTCTAGGGCTGTATCTCAAGGATTCTGGAATTGGGGTTTGATCCCAGATTGTCTGACACCCAAACCAATGCTGAGATGGGACGGTTTGGTGTGAAATGCGTCTCTAGGTGGTTGTGGGTGACTTTTCCCTTCGTAGTGGTACTGTGGTGTAGGTGTTCCTTGTTCTTTAATTGTGAAATAAAATCAGATCCGTAGGTGGAGTGCTGGAAAACAAAGGCAGTCAGCATTACAAAATTACAAATGCGACAGGAAAAAGGAGGTCGGGGCTGGACTCAGCTCCATGTGGACAACGACAGAGCCTGACTCCAGTCTCAGGACAAAATAAACACAATGTACGAATGTGTTGGGTGAGTGAGACAGTGACTAAATATCATCACAGAAAAACCAATCTGGGAGATTTCATTATTCAAGCTATGTGAATTTCTGCACGAGATCATCACTTTTAAAAAACTTTTTAGTATGCTTCTCAAATTCTGAAATGACTCCATTTTCCTATGCTTTTCAGATTTTGGGAGACTGAAGCTTTCTAAATGAGTGTTTGCTTGCTCACCTGACTATCCTAATTTCCTACACTAGTTGAAGTCATGCTTCCTGCTTTGGCAAGAAAACCCACATGTTACAATATTCACTGGGTTTCTCAACTCAAACCAAATATTGAGGACCTACTTGCTGGGTGATGAGGGATCATTAAAACCCAATGTCACCAGTAGAAAGGAAGCTTGATTACAAGAAGTGAAGTCAGGGTCATGATAGAGAAATATACAAAGTAAAAAGGGGTTATATTGAAGGAACAATTAATTTTTATTGTAAATGAGGGGAAAATTCCTGAATTAGGTAGCAATTAATCTGGACCTTGGGAAATTAACAATAATAAGGAGGATAGTATTAATACTACTACTAATAATAATAATAATAATAGTTACAGCTAATATTTATTGACTGCTTATTTATTTTTTAATTGAGGTACAATTGACATACAACATGATATTACATTCAGGTGTATAAGCATACAACATAATGATTCATACGTATATATATTGTGAAATGATGACCTCAATAAGTCTAGTTAATATCCATCACTATACGTAGTTACAGAATTTTTTTCTTGTGACAAGAACTGTTAAGATCTACTCTCTTAGCAACTTTCAAATATACAATACGGTATTACTGGCTATAGTTGCCATGCTGTATATTCCATCCCTGTGACTATTTATCTTATAACCGAAAGCTTGTGCCTCTTGGCCTCCTTCACCCATTTTGTCCACCCGCCACCTCCCTCCTCTGGCAACCACCAATCTGTTCTCTGTATTATCAACTACACATATGCTTGCCACTGTAATCTAAGTACTTTATATGTATCAACACATTTAATCTTCACAATAACTCTAGGAAGTAGACGCTGTAATTCTCTCTACTTTATAGATAACGAAATTAAGTCCTCAGGGCATAAGTAACTGGCCCAGCACCTCAATAGTCAGTAAGCAGCAGAGCAGACATAGCCGTGCTGCAAACCCTGTTCTCCGGACTGCGCTCACTGCCTCCGAGTGAATGAGATTTGGGGAGGGCAGAAGGAAGAGCGGGGGCAAGTGCGTGGAACAGGGGGAATGCATGATGTGTGCAGGGAATAGCCTCGAGCGAGCGCGATATGGGAGCACGGGAGCTCTTTGTGGGGACCGGGGATGGGGTAGGAGGAAGAGACCAGATCAGGGACGGGCAGGAATGCCATGTTCGTTTGCACTTTAGGATTTGTTTCTAGGCAGTGGAGGACCTTTACTGGAGGGAGAACAACAGATACCTGCCTCAGTACGGTTAAATACACTCCCCTTCACCCTGGAGACATCCTCTCTTCCTTCCCATTCCTGAGACCGACTCCTGTTCTCCCGGCTCAGCAGGAGTCACCTTTGCCATGAAGATTTTCTGGTCTCTTGTCTCCTTCTGACTCACCATCCATTTAGTCCTGTCATGGCTGCTCCCACTGGTTGTCTGCAGCCTAATGGGTACAGCCAGCTCTGGATCCCATCGGTTGTCCCTGTTGCTACTTTGTGAGAGTTACAAATGCCATGCCCACACCTCACTGTCACCCTAGACAGTAACACATGACATACTGCAAGGAACATGCAAGCTAATTGTCGTAGATTTCATGTAATTCTTTTATTACCTCCATTTCCAACCCCAAAACATGATAAAAAAGCAAAAGCATCCAAGAGAAGAGTATATTTTTTTATCCATATTTTGAAGTGTATAAAAAATAATCCTGC